TGGCTGAATAGGCTAGACTCGAGTCGTGTCGTGCACGCATGCAATCGGGCTGCATCCGTGAAGTGCCGGTGGCAGGAGTACCAAGCAGAAACTATGTGTTTAGCATCGTTGTAGCAAACAAGTTTCAGGGGGAAGAAGGATAAGGCAACTGTGCCCAAAGGGGAGAAGGGGGCAAAAAGTGAAGCTTTGTGCATCATTACCTCGGTTGATGGTGTTGATGTTAGTTGATGCCTATCCTACTCTACTACTATGAACATACCCTACCTCGGTCTAAGTGACATGGATAACCCGGTCTTTTCGCTTTCAGCTGGCAAGGCCATCTCCATTGTGGCTGTTCATAGTGGACGCCGCAGCTGAAACCCAACCATAGAGCTGACCCCATAGTGAAAGTACAAATTGTGATTAACAATCCAAAGTACTAAAAAATCAGGACGTGGTTGAGAGAGAATGACAGGGCAAAAGGATTTGTGTCTGGACCGAAGGGATCGACAAGGCGCTTAATGCAAGCGTGCAGCAAACTATCGAAGTGGCGCCTCGAGCAGCTTCAACCGCGCACGAGCAACGAATTAACTTCCGTTCTACTGTTCGTCGGGCAGCTTAATTGTCATTTTCCGATCCTCCGAAAACCAGGTTCGGTAGGTTATTCTTGCTTTTTTGACCCTTTTTCTGTTCCGCTTCTTTTTCTTCCTGCACGCAGTTTCTATTTGCTAAGGCAATCTTCTTCTTGCAGGGCGCCCCTGAGCGGAGTTTCCTGTGCCCGAAATTCAGGTTCAAATGGAAGATGTCAAATCAAGTTCAAATTAGATGATGTGTACGCAAAAATATTATCGTGGAAATCTTTATCCCCCCACTGGTCCAACTTTAGAAATGCAAACCCAGAGCGACTCCCAGGAACGACCGCAGGAACGAGACTAAGCCCGGAATCCATCCGGACGACGATGAAGAATCAGAAGGAGGATGACGACCTCCAGGGCCACCAGGCCCGCCACCCCAATAGCGCTGGCCTTCGCTGTTGGGGTTCGAGGCATCGTGACACTGCGGATGGTTATAGTCTTCTACGGTTCCCATCGGCCAGATGGGCACCACACAGATCTCGTGGTCGGCGCACCCGCTGCATTGCTTCCACGTCGTCCAGGCCAAGTACTCCATCAAATCCTGGAAGAGCCCAATCACCGTGTTGTAGTCTGTCTCCTGCCAGGCCTCGACAAATGTCGCACAAATCCTACGAGTAACTGCATGCACAGCCGTCGCCGCCACCCCAGCATCACCATCAGCCGCAAGCATCCCGCCCGGAATGAACTGCATGGAGCAGCGCTCGGCCTCTTCTTCCCCATCGCGATCCCCGTAGTCAACAAATGGACCCAGCACCGTATCAATCTCCGCGTGGATCGCCTCCACCGTCGACACCTGCCCGGATGCCAGGTAGCGGATTTCACGCGCGTACCGCTCGACCACCATATCCGTGACGGTCTGCCAGTTGAGTGTAGCCTCCTTGGCCTCATGCTGCAGTACCAGCTGGTTCAGCGCTTCCCGGATCGGGTCCAGCTGCTGCGACGTAAACTGCTTCAACCGGGGCAACGTGAACGTCTCATTGACCGAATGGAACAGGTCCAGTCCATACGTATACGCCGACACAAAGTTGTCATAGTTCAGCGTCACTCGGTTACCTCCAATCCCATCATATCGCGCAGCAATGGCCTTGAACCACAGTCCTCCATCTCCTCCGCCTCCAGGACCACCCTTTTTCTTCTTCTTGTCATCCTTCTTACCACCAGGTCCCCCAAACGGCTGACTCGGTTTCGTCTGCGTCACCCTCACCTGCTTCAGATCCCGGGCAAAATCACACAGAATGATCTCAAACCCAGCCTCCATACGCAACAATCCATCCAACCGATCATCCCACTCCTCTTTCGCCATGCGACAGAACATTTTCGCGCGCTCGCGCTCCCCCATCATCTCTCCTTCGCCTAATTCATCCCGGAACAGAATCCGATCCTCCAGGTCGAGCGTCCCATTGTTCGTCTTTCCAGCTGCCATACCATCGACGTATAGCAGTCGCAGATCCTTAGCAGCGACGTAGGTATGTAACCAGCCTGATTCTTGCTGCTGTTCCTCTCCCTGTTCCTCATCGCGCTTCCTCAACTCCTTCCTCTTCTTTTCATCGTCGTCCTCATCCGGTGGTGGTCCCCGACGCGGCCTCGCGAACACCATAGCATGTTCCGGCTCAAAGGCAAGCCACTCCGTCCCGTTGACGGCTTCGGCGATCGATGTACCATGGTAGAACTGCGTGCCGGCGGGAACGGTGGCGAGGAAGAACGACATGCCGTTGTGCTGGAGAGAAGAACCCCATTGTCGCATGGAGGAGTGGATGGAGTTGAAGATGTGGTTGGCATATTGTGTTGTTGATGGCGATGCTGCTGTAGCTGTGGTGCTGCTAGCGGCCCATAAAAGGGACGATAGCAGGAGGGGTTTGACACCCATATTGTATACAGGTAGGTGTTGTGGTGCTGATGGGAAGCGGAACCGGAACCAAGAAGCAAAAAAACAATTTTTATCTTATCAGGGGGTGCGGGCAGATTTAATACTTAAGGCTCCATCGCCAGATATTATTAGGCACCGGTGCTGGGGCCGGATGGACAAACTACGTAGATAGGTAGATAGATAGGAGGCGATAATATAATACTTAAGGAAGCAGTCCCGCACTAAGGGACGCGTCAGCCAACAGAGGCGGCGACTAGCGGTGGGTTTTTAAGTTAGTAGCCCAGTGAGTGAGTGGATGACGAGTCACGCACACGGCGGTTAGAATGGTGTTGAGAAGAATACTACTTACTCTTGCTGCGAGGGGGTGTGGGTGGGATGGAGAACCAATGGAGATTATCTAGACAGATGGGAAAGCAGCTCGGGGGTAAGACAGCGCATGTGAGGGACTCGGAGTGTGCCATCGAGAAGCATCTCCGATAGCAATTCCGACTGGCAGTGGCACAAACCGGAATGTGAAAAAGGCTTGTTCGGCACTGCCAGAGAGTGGATCTGGTTTGCAGTCAGTCAATCAATCAATCAACTCAGCCTTACCGAATGTGGTTGCCTAGAAGCGAGGAGTGGATGACTTGCAGTTAGACTCCCTCTTGTCTGTTATCTAAAAAGTTGTAATAAGATAGACCCGTTATAAGCACTAATATTTTATTACTCCGTCTTTATTCTACATTATAAAGTGGTGAGATTGTAAGATCTTAAACCATCATATATTTGTACCTAAACAAATAATCTTATCCGAAAATTTTCCATTCCGTTCCTCGGAAGTTCGAACTTTTATCTGCCGGTCGGGTTTGTCGGATGTATCATCTGGAATAAGCAATCCATGCCGAGAGTTCTGAGGTGAGCCAGCTTCGGACCACCGAACGGTGGGACTGAAGCTTGATCGGGATAAGAATTTAGAAGGTGGCTCGGGCTGATGGTGGATTGACTATTTGTCTATAGATTTGTTTTTTGTATGGTCTTGGGCAGTATTCTGTTGGACGATGTGATGAAGGTTTAGCGGGGACAAAATATATTACAAGTAGAACAAGTATGAGGACCTGAGAAATCGACGCCGAAAATGCCCTCCTTAGTTCGCGGCCAAATCTACCCCTTTGCATCCTCTTTTACTCTTCTACACCTCCCCTATCCTCTTTTAAAGGGCTCCATCCAGCCCGCAAGTTGACTGTTTCTTGACTTCATTTCTGCCATAACATTTGTATTCCCTGTAAGGAGACCTGAGCCAGACTGGAATATGTCCGCAGTTTTGGATAACTCACCCTACACTTCAAGATCTAAAGGTCTAATGCACTAGAAAATCTTGCTGTTGTTAAATAGTATCAGTGAAAGTAAGTTTTAACGTCAACTCAAATGTCTTCTCAATTTTCATATAATGGATATTGTATCCAGTAAAAAAACAGACAGCAGGCAAGCCGCCGAAAGTGGCTCCCATTATACGGAGTACCGCCTGTCTGCCGCTCTCTACAACCTGCCATCTATAGTCAACCCATTACCTGCTACAGTATAGACTACTCTATTAACAAATAGAATCCTCCCAACCTATTATACTACTTTCTTCCATCTACATGGCCGCCTCACTTTACATATTACTTATATCAATACAAGCTCATGTCAGATTTTATATATTTCAATCCATGTATTCTTATGCTCTCTCTCGCTATCTTCTTTTACAGGTTCCTTGATTACAGCAGTCTCAGCTATTTTCTCTTGCTCTTTCTATTCTTATTAAGGAACATTAATTGTATGCTTTGGAGACTTGGGACTGCTTTTAGTGAGTAGTTATCATTAGTAAATTGGAGGCCTTAGTATCTATTTTCTTATACTCTCAGTTAAGTATCTTGAGCATCCTGTACAGTACAAATATTCTACATCTAATTTTATATAGCTTGATCCCGGACATACTGTCTATTCTCTATACTGGATTAGACTATTTCATCTATCCCCCATGTTATCTGCCTAATTCTTCTTCAGCCTTTATAGTTCTTCTATTCTCTCTTTCTGACTCATTATTCTTTCTATCAGCTAATAGCAAAAATACTGCTGCCAGATAGGAGATGTAACATTATATAAATATCCTAGAGCAGCTGTCTCATGCCTAATCTGGCAATGAGAGATGCATTTGTTCCACTTGGGCCTCAAGAATATTTCGGTTCCAAGGCGCTTTCACGTCGTTTTCTTCCAAGCCCCAAGTCTATTGACGGGCATCATATGGTGGAGTCAGTCATTCGTTGCCTGCGAAAGTATTCCTCTCGGGACAAAGACGTCGGGTCGCAGTATAATTTACCAGTGAGACTGGTGACCCGAAGTGCCAGCCGCTCCTGATTATTAAGGTCACTGTTTATTTCGTCAGAACCTGGCTCTTACATTGGGGAGGTTATCATACTATGTGCCGGTATGAAGGACGGTTCGACTAATTGAATTACTGTTAGGGTCATGGTCAATGCAGCAGGAAGGGATAAGCTCGCTTACTTGTCCCAAATCACGATATCATCAGGCTTCCAACGGTGGCGGTATTGCAAATCATGATTGTCTGTAATCAACTTCAAAACTAGTGGGGTCGTTAGCAAATCCATCAGAACACTTTTTTTTAGAGGAAGCAGTTCCTGGGTACTCCTGGCATACAGTAGGCTTTCATCAATTCCTGCTCATGATCGGTAACACCATTGATTCTCCCATTAGCGCGCATCGAGATTGGACTAAAACCCCATAGTGCTTTCCAGCCAGTTACCGGATTGGTTACTACGAGGGGACTGGTCAATTGTCAGCTTTATATCCGAATAAAAGGAGGATTCGCAGCTGTGCCTTACTGAGTTGCCTCGAACGAACCACCAAAATTCTGTGGATGGCCTCTGGGACCCAGCCAAAGATTGATTCCTTTATCAGCAAGTGGCATGATGTCTGGTTCATGATGTGTTGCTTCAGTGGCTCTGAGTTAGCATGTTCCTGCCTGATATGTCGAGGAGCGTACAGGAGAGTGAATCAGCCATCCTCTGCCATGGCTCGGACAAGCGGTCATAGGCCCCGTAGCAGGAGGCAAAAAGGGTGTCACCTCCGGTCATTGGAGCTTTCACCATTTTTATCGCAATATAGTCCGATGGGATATTCTCGTAGGAGGTACTCGTCGGGAATTAGTAGGGGATTAACAGAGATCCAACGATACAGTGTCGACTTACTCAGCATGCCAACCTCGACTGGCAAATTGCTTATGCTTCGTGTTCAGATAATCGTCAAATTTATCGCGATTATGCTGCATATGTACTGAGCATTCGTCTTATACTCTAGGGTAAGATAACTGCACTTACCTCGGATGACACTGCATAGATTTCGGGGTCGCGTAGAACCTCGTCGTCTCCCAGGCAGGAGTTAACATCGGGGTGTATTGGGTTAATATGTAATTTTGCTTCCTTAGGTTTGCCAGTTAATTCTCCCATTCTCTGAATGAGGCTTTTAAGCTGGTCCATGCCGATATCCTGGTGGCGTAGGACGATCACGCCTCGCTCAGATGCTGCATTCCATCATTAGCACCTGACGGCTGTTCTGCGACTAATAAGCGGACAGCCATTGCTTACCTGTAATTGCTAGGTCCTTTACCTTGCTGTCATCTGAAACTATAGATGACAGCTGAAGATCAAGGTATTCTCTTCCCAAAGCATTCGTGGCATCAACGTAGGCATACATATCCAGAGCACCAGAGGTGCGCATGCGTGAATGAACAATGGTCATATTGATTGTCGATACCGTAAAAATTATCGTTAGTTTGGAGATTCGAAGTGTGCAACCCGTACTTCTCAGGTGCCTTTAACTGTTAATATAAGCGGTGCTTGTTTAAAAGAAGGTTGCACCGGAAATGGGACGCCAGTGTCAAGGGCCCCGGAATCGTGCATACTTTGGACGGAGCCATAAGTATTTCCAGTCGCGGAAAATACTACCGTTTGCACCAGCAATTAATACAACCTGACGTTGAGACATCCATTGAAGTAACTACTTTTCTTTGAATTCTTGACGATGCACTTGATTGGCGTTCCGACAATAATCATAGCTTGTTACTCTCACGACGCTCGATTGTGGAGCCATGGCTCCTTGTGACTCCCCTTTCCGGTTGCTCATTCCACACGCTCCCCGTCCTGAAGGCCTCCACTCCACATCCGGAACTCTGTTCATTGTAATTGTGTCCACCCATCAATGCCGCGGAGGCAGTAGGCAGTACATGCACGATTCACGGTCGCTGCTTCCGGTCTTTCTAGGCACGGATTTAGCTTCCATTCTCCAGTCAGTGATTTCGATACCATCTATCGTTCTGAACCTTCGCCTTGAATGTTATACAGGAAAGTAACACCCAGTCAGTAGTATTGACACATATTCATTGTTGTAACCGATTCCTCATTGCTTGGCTAAATAAGTTGAGGATACCTAGGCGTGTTAGCTCTTCTTACTATCTTCGTTGTTGCGATCAAGCCCGTCGCGAAGCCCGTTTTAGCAAAGTTGTAGATAATTTTATAAGAGATGCCGTATTGCATTTGAATCTGTTGTAGCGGCTATAGTTATATCATCGAGAATACCGAGGTTTATCGAGATTTATCGTCTCATCAGCAATGGAGATCAAAGGGAGTGGTCTATATAGCATCCGACCTTCCTTCTCTTCAGTTTCCAGTCTCCTGTGGCGGCTCAGACTGCACGGGGTTTATCCCACGATCTATTCTTACGACTTGCGGGCCAGAATATTACACACACGATATAATTCTAAATAAATAGCGATACCGATGCAATATCCTACTTTCCTTACATTCATAAACCACCTTTTCAATCCACCCCTTTCCACAATCTGAAGCATGGATATATATAAGCTAAGCCATTGCTTTTATAACACGTGGGTCATTCTTTCCAGGGTATACAGCATTATCAGCTAATCTTTATATGCATCAGTATTCAGTCTTCTGGGTTATTACTGTAAGCATACTATCCAATCTTTCTAATATAATCAAGAGAAAATCTTGAACTGTACAGATTACCAGTCAAAGGACGTTATATTCATGGTCTTCATGTAAATAGTCAGATCTGGGGATACCGATAATAGAAAATAAATATATCCATTATTACATCTTTCCTAATTGTATTCTAAGAGCTAACCTCTTTCTACTAGCAGACCAATCTCCTGCGTAGCTCCTGGACTTATCATGACTAATTACAATAGATTTGTCGTTTCCAGTTGTTGACATGGCCTCTGCGAGAAACACTTTCGCGTATATTATAGGCAGGGCTTTTTTCCTCGATAGAATTGGAGCAGGGAATAGACTTAGGGATAGTGTAACAGGATAAGATCGAGGCTTCATACATACCCCGCGTTCTGTGCTACTGCGGACTTTAGTCAAATTCAATGCAGATGATATATTAGGCTGGGTATATTATTACCTGATTGCGTAGCCCTTTTCCCTACTTTCGTGAGAAGGGGTCTGAGATTTAATTGCAAACGAACCCCTCAACTAGCTAGATAGTATTATAAGGCGGAACTGGTAGGCAGAATTGATACCATCAGACCACTGCTTACAACAGAGGCGCTATTCACAGGGCTGACTTGGAGAAGCCACCACGATGCTAAGGCGAAAGTTGCGCTGGTCCAATATAAAACCATTCAAGATCCACTACCCCAACGACTGTGAGACCGTCTTTGCCGCAAGATATCAGTCGCAAATCAGTTTGAATTTTCCGTGATCATACTTCGGGTGGACTAAATCCGGTATCAGGGTTTCGAAGAGCTTGGTATCGATTATATATTACGTGACCTCCCAAGGCGGGCAGCGCGGGTCTGGCGAGAAATTAGCGTGGGATCAGCCCGGAGGAAAGGTGGAGGCCTGCCTCCACCGTCAGACAGACCCATATATAGAGGAGTCCAGTCGTCCGACTCTATAGGAATGTCTTTCGCTCCTCCTGTGCAGCTCCATCCACTTCCCAAAAGCAATTCGTGTTCACGCTCTCGACCACCTTCGGGGCCTACTGCTTAAGCATAGTCATCAAGGTCAGTAGCATCCCCCTGTGCGGTAGGTTGACTCAGGACAAATCCAGTTTGTTTACTAACATCCCACGGCAGGACAGCACATCACTGGCGCGGCATTGTTATAGGTGACAACATGATGCCAGAAAACAAAGACAGCCCCGGGCCTCACTCGCCCTCGGTCAACAGGATAAAACGGTTTTTCGAGGCAATGGCCATTATGTCAGTGACCTCCTTGGTCGTCAGTACCTTCGAAGCCATCTTTCTTGCGCCGGTGGATCCTCGTTCATGGTTTCATTATATATTATTCATCTCATTTTACACGATGTTTTATTTCCTGTACGAGAAGATTAAGTCGATGTAGATACATATACATATGAAGTCTTAGAGTGTCTCCAGTACTCATTGTCAGGATTACAATGGCCAGGACTGGCGATACCATGGTGAGGAATTTGCTATTATACTGTATGGGGTGTCATCTCTCAAGCATCTGTCTGCTTTATATGTACTATGTATACCTATCTAAATTCGAAAACAAATTTCTGAAATTCTGCAGGATATGAATGAGTGTACGTACATGCATCGGGGATGAGGTATTCCAAGGACCAAGGGACATCGTAACCAAGCTAGGATCACAAGTAATACATGTGGCATGCATATCGCAAAGCCTTTATACACTCGCCTCAATACATTTCACCCCGGCGTTATCACAGTTGTAATCCTTCTGACTGTTAAATGCAGTCATCTCAATCTTTTTGTCCTCTGCAAAGGCCTTCGCGTCGGAACCCTTGCACTTCACAAAAAGACTCATGAAATCAGGACAATAATTGTTAATCTCCAGACCAGTAAATCCCGCACTCGTAGTCTTGATGAACCCAACAATCGTCTTGCAGGATGGTACTGGATGGCCCGTTCCAGCTTCAGTGCAAAGGTTGCTCTCAATAACCTCGATGATGGCGCTCACGCCACCGCCTGCAGCTTGGCTAATGGCGCCGCAGATCATCTTGATCTGGAAGTCGCTCAAATTATCTTCAATTCGGCCATGGCCCTGGCATTTGCCATTGATATTATCCCTGACTTCAAGGGCACTTTCGCTGGAACCGTGGGTCGAAGAGACAAAGATTTCAGAAATTGTCTTATTGAAGATACCCATCTCCGACGACAGAAAATCGGATCCATCATGGGTATGATGGTAGTCTGTCGTAAAGACAGAGACGAGCCTCATATCATTGTCTAAGAGCTTCCTAGCGTGCTCCTCAATCAGGTTGCGCGTGTCCTCGGAGGGGGCCATGCCATAGTGCTTTACAGCGCTGGCAGCGGAGATACAGAAACAGGCAAGGGTTGCCAGACGCATCGTCGGTTGCTTTGGTAGGTGGATGTCGTCCGTCTCGACACTTGGTAAGGACTGATGCGTAGATTCACAGGGGATATCGTAAAGACCAATGCGCAGGAAAAGTCACAGGAGTTCAATGATTATTGAGAATGTTCTGACAGAATTTTCTGCTGGTATCATCGCTGTTCAAGTACCTGCGCATGAAGCATCTGAGAAATGGAAGGATTTGTACCCATGTTTCCCAGGCTTCCCATGAGGGGTTTCGGATTCCTGTTCTTGTTCCGTACAGACATCTAACATTGGCCTGAGAGTAGCTGGTTAGATTGGGCTGACGCAGCGCGATGTCTTGGATGTCTAGCCCCCATGTTACATCTGGATCGGCGTGCCTTTTAGGGCGACGCTATATCAACACCATCTCCACAACTCAGACCCCCATTACTTCGACCATTGGACTGTTTATTCACCGGTGTATTCCGAAATCCCTGATATATAAGAAAAAACCACGCAATATAGTGCGATATTGGTGTCCAGTCAGAAGCATCACGCTAAATCTTGAATCCTGTATCGTACCATCCGCAGATAATCTCTGCCATCCCTCGTCAGGCTGTCTCGCGGCTTCCAGGTGGCAAGTTCATTTAATCCTCTAGATAGCTCGAGAGTACTACAGTATCCCCAAAGTAGAAACCAGGGGGTTTCGGCTCGGGCCCTCAACCGGCGAGTCCGCCCGAAGTACCCATTTTTCCGCGGTGGGCGCAGCCATGAGGCTGAATTAGAGTCAGGGATTATGTTGGATTGTCCAAGGAGGAGTGGCAGGAGGCTCGGAGGACTGCGGGTAATTAATTCAAAACTGGGGGAAATTAGAGACGGGGTTAATCAAAGACTGCGTATAAGTAGACCACGAACCCCTTCACCGGAGTCCTCGCTTCGCCTGACCGCAAGCCCCCTGATCGCACCAGTTCTTCTATGCGCCTACGGACCTTGCTTGTCACATACAAATGGTGAAAGGGAAGGGGGCAGAATTGTCATTCATGAGAAGAAAGAAGAGCGCCGTGGGGAGCGCTTCACTCTTCGGATCCAAGGAGACATGGAAAAGAAGGTAAGACCTAAGACCACAACCACGAGTGTGGTCCGAGGTCATCACATGGCGCAACTCAAAATGCGCCACTTGGTGGGGACGTTATGCACCGACGATCCCCTGTTATGACCCTGATTTTCTCAGATCCGAGCTTTCTCCGGATCAAGGCAACCGGAGGCTCAGACACTAAGACTTTGCGCTGTAGCCGTCTGCTTTCGGGTTCGTTCTGGACATCTCCCGCCTCCAGATCCCGTCTCGAATCCTTCGCGCTTACTTGCCCCTTCACAAGCTGCGGGGCTACCAATCACTGATCTCTCCTCCTTTTCTCCTAAAATTATGCAAATATACGAGGTAGCCATGCATATTACAAATCCATCCTCCAGCTTGACACCGTAACGATGCCTGTTCACCATTACCATTCATTACTATCAGACAATCAATCATCTTCATCATCTTACTGTATACAGCGTAATATCCTGGGAGTTCAAGGGCGAAGAGCCGCCCGAGATTTCTGCCAGTGACTTGTGAGTACCTAGATATGTTTATATGGATATTGATATAGGAAGAGACACAGATAGTAGGCCACGAGGAGAGGAAACTCTCTAGCCTCGCCAAGTGGTTGCAGGCCAAGGAGATACTAGAGACACGGGGATTCTCATGTTAGATTGAGGATAGAGAATAGGATGTCATTTAGGCATGCACTGTTCGGTTGTTCCCACCACAGAAATCTTACGAGAACCAGCTTTTGTCAATTACATTTCATAATATTAGTTGATGATCTGTGGAGCATCTATTATAATGGTGAAATAGACCTAGGCAGAATCAGACCCGTCTTGTCGATTCTCTGAATCCGAGTCCGTCGCGCGTCCACTCAGTCATCAGCTGGCTCAGCCTCTCAACCAAGGATCCTGCAAAAGCTCCTTGGCTGTCGCTCTTTCTTCAGGCAGCCAAGTAAGAGTTTTCCGCATGAATCGTAGGAAGCCAGACTTATCACTGAGCCGACTGTCTAACCGTTCCATTGTCCGGTCATGCGGAATAGGCGCAAGGCCCAGCCATTTGCCTACGTAACAGCCATTAGCAGGGAGCAAAAGCGACAGAAAACAACCGGTAAGATGCAATATCAGCTGATACATGTTACTTACCATCAGAGCCCCCAAAACCGCTTGCCCTTTCCTGGTTCCTTCTTAGAAAATTTTTGGGGGGGGGCGGGGAGGTGGACCTAGTGCAGCGATGATTTGGGCTATATGCGCAGCATCATACAGATCTCCATCTTCATCTCGTACTGTGAAAAGCTTTCTCGGCTCGATAAGATCCCAGGCCTGCAGTCCATTTCAGTTAGCGCGAAAGGCTGCCAGGAAGTACCATGCTGGCTAGGAGGAATCGTGACCTACAGTTAGACCTACACTCCAGATATCGACAGGGTAACTCCAACCTATATGAAGTAATGTCTCAGGTGCCCGATACTCCAGGGGCATGATATCACCGCCGTGCGGCCCTGGACCAATCCGTGTCTCACCAAAGTCAGACAACAACATGGGACCTACTTGAGGACGCATCAGGCGTGATAAATAAATAGTCCGCGTGGGAGAGACCGGCTTGCGAGGTACTGGTGACACGAGTTCTTTGTGTTCCAGTGCACTCAGCGACTGGTTAGCATAGGCTCCGAGGGGCAAATTCCCAGGATGTATATCTATTATGAAGTCAATCAGTTCACTCTTACAGCTTGCTTGCACGAAGGAAAGAAGTCTTTACCAGTGTGAACACTCTGTCCTTGTGTATGAAGAAAGTCTACCGCCTGTAAAAGCTCGGTAATAGCACCTTTAACAAGATCCTCATCGAACCCACCCTGTTGGAACACTACCTTCATGTCACGTAGACTCATCTGCGCGGCCTCGAAGAAAAGGACTGTATGTGTCCCATCTTGACTGGAAACAGTGAAGGAATCTAACAACTTGCGAATATTGTATCGTCCCTGATGTGAGCTTGTTTGTAGCTGTTGCTTCACGTGATTATAGAACGGGACTTCGCGGTGAAACGATGAAGTATGCACATAGACTTTCAATGCGACATAGTGGCCGTTTCTCTGCAAGTCAGTTCAATCTAAAAATTATTATCAGAGTCTCTCAAACTTACGTCAAATCGCGGGACAGCCATGTGGTTGATGAGGAGCCAAAGCCAAGTTTTGCCACTACTTGGTAGCGGTTCTGGAATATTTCACCCAGTCGAACGGGATAAAAACGGCGTGCTTCGTAGTCAGGTAACTCTTCCTCCTCCACTTTTTCGTCAGGCTGGATAATGTCAAAGCCACTAGTTGGAAACTTCTGGGCATACTGCGTAATTCTTGACGTTGTCGATGGGATATCGGAACCCATGGAGGAGGAGGACTTCGTTGATGATGAGATCGCTCTCCAGAGAGACATTCTTGATCCAGAAGCAGATACGGAAAGTGCTGGAGAGTGTGCGCGGTATAGGCTATTGTGAAAAAGAGAGCAAGCTGATATGTTTCGCCTAACAGCTGAAGTCGATGAAATCATGGCTAGCAGAAGGATGACACTGTTTCTGTAGATGAGCGAGTGAATGCTAGGTCCGGACCCTTGGTCACTGCCTGCATCATGCCAAGACCTCTGTGCCTTAAACCACATCTTTGTATTTCGATGCACCCTGGCTTTACTATACAGGAGGGGAGGGGCCTGAGCGGGGGATTGGAAGACTCCCAGCACATGCTCTAGCCTAATGCCGTGAGCCCTGCAATCGAATGTCATCCCCGAGGTCCTGCATAGGGCTCTGTGTCTTTCATGAAGTATATATCGAGACGATTCTATTTTCCCGGGGAGCTATATATTTACGCTGGTACGATATATCAAGAAACGCCACTTGCTAGTCCATTTAAAATAGTATAAAAGGTGCAAGGTAATAGCCCTATGAATTACCTACCGTAATAGCATACAGGGAGATTCGTATGAGTGACAACAATCACAAAGAAGCACCTCTTATACAAATAGAAAGCGGACCGAGCTAATCCCTCTGCGCTAGAAGAAATCTCCCAACAACTACCACCAAAGCGAACATATCAGTTCTACGCATCAATATACAAGGCGGGGGGTGCAGTGGGCAACTCACTCTTACGGAATTCCTCGGTCTTCTCCTGAACAATCCAATGACCGCAGTCAATATCCACGATCTCAGAAGACGGAAAGAAGGAATTTATCAGCGGTAGCGCTGACTCAGGAATAAAGTTGCTCTGAAGAGCTCTCAGGAAGAGGACGCGACCATTGAATTGCCTAATGGCTTGACTCTCCTCGCCCACACGATAAGGAAATTCGCCAAGAGGCCTTATGGCTGTGCTCAAGGTTTCGACGGGCACACGAAGCTGGAGGAAAGGTGTATCTGGCTTCTTGTGAAGGTTGCTAATGAGCCAAGCCCGTATAGCAGGAGACTGTATGATCCTCTTTTAGCCCTATCGTCGAGAGCTGCAGTACCAATAGCACCACAAAGCACACCATCTTACCTTTTCATATTGAGTCAAGATTTTATCAGCTTGCAAATGGTCCGTGATCCGTTCGTCTCTCAGTCTTGCCAATCCTTCCAAATATCGGACAAAATCTGACTCCAGTGGTAAGCGGATTGGGCAATTATCGATGGCCACTACGTCCTTGATTAGGGTCGGGGATTCTAAAGCTAGTGTTAATGCTGTTTTGGCGCCCCTGGAAATCAATGCGTTAGATATACAACTGTATCACATGGGACATGAGTGTTGAGCTAATATAGCCGAAACATACATAGAGTGGCCAATGATAGTCGGTGCCCGAAGCTGGTGTCTTTCAATGAAAAATTTTACGTCCAGTGCCATCTCCATGTAGTCGTGTTTTGGATGATGACCGGATTCGCCATGGTTGCGCATGTCCTGGGTCGAAGTTTAGATTGCCACTAGTATGTGGCTATTCAGGCCACCCAGCAAAGGAATTACATACCAGAGCATATACAGGCCGGAAGAGATCTTTAGCGAGCAGTCTATTGAGGTTGTTAGAGCGAAACCAGAGACAAGGAAAGCGGAATGACTTCCCTGCTAACATGTCTGTTCTCACGCTTCGAGCCTAGAAACCCATGCAAGAAGAGAATTGGCGTGCTTGAAGTCGGATTATGGCTCGTGGGACTGTTGCTGGTAGGTGGTCGATGGAGTTCATAAGCCAATGGGACCCGTCGTGCCGCGGTATGGAATTGCCGGCAGAGATGTTTTGAGTGCAACATTGAGGAAAATATGATCCCGACTGGTTTATATAAAGATTAAAGAATGCTGATTGCATCAACTAGAAAATGCGGTTTACAATCTATCCCTAGCAGTAGTTAACCAGTCAGTTACTGGATCGTTATCCCGGGAGAGGTTTGTCAGGGAGTTCAGAAAGTGACGCGCCGATCCTTGTATATGTAATATTACGTTGGTTTTGGTAACGCCCATGTTTCGGCCGCAGAATCCGAAGATCCTCAGGCCTATATCTCATCAAGTTCTGTTATCAAGACAAGCAAGTCATTAATTCCTGTCATACTATGTAGTATTATTACTGTTGTGCAATTGTCGGTACTGCCGTGGATCTCATAGTATGCGTCGTCACTTCATTATCGGAACCGAGTTATGTCATACTATGTACTCTACGCCCTTTCGGTGACTCCCACCGTTCCAGACCCACCCGGGCAACCCTTTTCTTATATAGTGAAGAGCTTCTACTTGACTGGGGATGCAGCAATTACATCGAACTATTCCTATTATATAATTTTCATGCACAATGCGTCGGTCTGCCCGGCAGGACGCCTCTGAACTTGCTCAAGAGCATGAACTAAGATCTAATACTGACGTTTATCACACCGATCAGCCGGCGGATGGGCCCGGTGTCAGTCTAGCCTTCCCTGAAGGTGGCCGAGAGGCATGGATGTGCCTTTTGGGATCCTATTTGATAATGTTCCCATCATTTGGCTTTGAAACAGCAGGTACGCCAAGCTTTTCATGATTCCATTTACATCACTAGATAAGTGGGGTTATCAAACAACTGACATGAATACTCCAGTTGGCACTGTTCAGGACTACATCAGCGAGCACCAGCTTGCCGAATATAGCGTCCGCGATGTTGGCTGGATCACCGCACTTTTCGTGTTTCTGACTCTATTTCTTGGAGTTCAGGTCGGACCACTGTTCGATCGATACGGCCCTCGGATCTTATTAACATGCGGATCCGCAGCCAGCTTCACTTCCTATATGCTACTAGCTGAGTGTACAAAATACTGGCACTTCATCCTGTGCCTTTCCATTCTCGGAGGTATAGCTTCAGCTATTGTTACAACAGTCTCAATTTCAGTCCTGAGCCACTGGTTCCACCGCCGACGCGCCCTCGCATCAGGCATTTGTATGGGCGGATCATCAGCGGGAGGCGCTATCATCCCACTACTTCTACGGACCCTGTTCTCGAAATATGGCTGGACGTGGTCTATCCGAGTTATCGCCTTTCTAGCACTAGGATGCTATACAGCAGGAATCATCCTAGTCAAAGGCCGCCTACCAACTGGCAGCAGCAGTAAAGTGACGATCGACTTCCGGGCCTTCCGGTCCCCTCGGCTTTTTTTCTTAACTGTGGCGGTCTTCTCCTTCGAGTTCATCATCTTCGGCTGCGCGGCACTATTACCAACATACGTCCGCTTCGCTGGCTTCTCAGTAGACGTGCAATTCTACTCGCTCACAGTCCTGAACAGTATGAGCTTACTGGGAAGAGTCCTTCCCGGATTTGCGGCTGACCAAATCGGGCGTTTCAACATCCTGCTCTGCCTCGTTGTGATCACGTTAATAATAATGGCAACAGTCTGGCTGCCTTTTGGCTCTCATGATGAGAAGACCCTATATAGCGTGGTGGCTATCTTTGGATTTGGCTCTGGAGGTTGGATCTCCCTTGCTCCTGTATGTGCTGGCCAGCTCTGTAGGACTGAAGAGTATGGACGGTTCTACGGTACCCTGTATTCTGTGGCTTCGTTCGGAGTTTTACTCACTGTTCCCGTCGGAGGTGACTTGCTTCAATCAACTACACCTCAGATTCTCATTGGGTTTTATTCAGCGGTGCTCTTGGTTGGGCTTATTGGTCTAATATTGTCTCGATGGGCTCTGCTGGACTGGAAGTGGAAGTGGAAGGTTAAGGTGTGATCCCTCCTAGAAATGGAGTATTTGATCATTTCGTCGGCCGAATTGCTGTCTTTGCGTACGAGTCGTAGTTTAAGTATCTCAATATGATAGTAAACATAGGTGTATTACCGTGGATACTTTCAGTCACTCTGCTGAAAAACATCCCCATTCGTATAGATAGAAGTCACATGACCGACTCGATAACATGATGTTATCAAACACCGATACACTCCTTCCTCCTGCCCAAGGCCGATCATCATTTTCAATCCAACAGTCTCTTTTCCTTTACATTGTCCAACTTGGGATCATAAACAACCAAGCGATCTTAATAATATAGCGACACGTTATCAGGATTTACATAGCCTACCACAAAATTGAACAACAAACACCACAGACATCGCAGAAAACAGACCCCCGACTTATCCAGGAACCAACTATGCGCCCCCGCACGCTCCTCCTCACCATAGACGCATTCAACACAATCTTTCACCCGCGCCACCCCGTCCCCGAACAGTACATTTCCGCCTTTAACTCCTTCAAACTTCAACCGTCTCAGGCTCACGAGCTCACACCATCCATCCTGCAACCCGCTTTCAAATCAGCTTACAAAGCGCAATCCCGCCGCCGGCCGAACTATGGGCGCGCGGATGCCATCCGCGGCCAATACGGCGGGCCTAGGCAGTGGTGGGAGGAGCTAATACGAGCCACGTTCCAGCAGGTCTTGGCAGATCAATCTACCAAACTACCAGATGAGCTGATCCAGGGCTTACTGGATCGCTTCGCAAGCTCTCAGGGCTATGCGCTCTACGATGACGCGGGCGTATTATTTGAGCGCCTCAGGCAAATCAAAACCACCGGCCAGAAACTAGGCGTTTTTGAAAGGGTAGTTGTGGGAGTTCTGTCCAACTCAGATGACAGGGTGCCTGCTGTGCTCCAGTCACTGGGACTAAGTGTAGGAAAGGGAAGAGCGGATCAGGAAATCGAGAGTTTGAAACTGCCAGGATTCGAGGATCCTTCTAGTATTTCCACCGATGCGTATGGAGAGAAGGTCGATGATATTGATCTCGTGATCACGAGTTATCAGGCTGGAGAGGAGAAGCCTAGTCCGGTGATCTTTGACGTGGCTGAGCGGCAGGCGAGGAGGCTGGTAGGGGCTGATGAGGAGGAAGTTGATTGGGTGCGTGTTCATGTGGGCGATGACTATGACAAGGATTATCGTGCTGCTGTTGATGCGGGGTGGAAGGGGGTTTATGTTCCCCGAGATGAAGGTGGGGGGAGGGAGGGGGTGGTGATTCGATCGTTAGTGGATTTGGTTCCGATGCTGGAGGGATTGAAATAGTCTGTGGCTGTTCAGGTGTACAGTATGATGGCTTTATTGGTGTATATATCACTTGGAGAGGGTGTGACTTGAGATACAGTTGTGTGATGCAGTACTTCACGAGTCACCCGGCGAAGTACACTCACCCGGATACAACGGCTGCTTAAATATCACCACACAAGACACCTCCCCTGCCAAGTACTATTGACCATAGCACCCCGAATGATCGCCAACATGTCACAAGAAAGCTTTGACCTCAACCTGGCCTGCAGGTGGCCATCCGTGCAGCGTCGGCAATCGCACTGGCCAGTTGCCAGTTGCCTGGCACAGCCGGTGGCGCCAAGCAAATGCGCAGATCCGAGCATAGGGATTACTATAGGTCGATGCCTGGATGGCAACACAATTAACTATGACGCATCCCTTGGCGATCTGCTGGTCTTATGTTACAAATCGATAGGTCCCTGTTAGTCCCTCTCGAGGGAGAGCACATTATTTGTGCAATCATATGATGGTGCAAGGGGAACCCATGATGTAATGACGTCGAAGGGGGGATCAACTGCATTTATAACCCCGATCTTATCCACCAAATTGCAGCAGAATTTGACTACTTCTTCACCTAACTATTCTTAGATTATCTCTAAAGAGAAGAACTACCACAAAGCTATCGATATGGATCTCGTTCAGAAGTATGGCCACCTCAAGCACGATCGACGCCGGAGCTCTCTGCAGCAGCAACTCGCGGAAGAGGAACGCCACCGGAATCAGATGGGTTTGTTGATCCCAACACTGGCCAATCGATAGATATATCAGATATACTGATGATTGAGTAGCTATCAACTCACTGTTAGGGAGCTTTGGCGGTTCAGCAAACGATCATCCAGACAGACGATCCAGTGGTGCGGGGAATATGGCGAGCATGATTGAGGAGTTCAATAAGTCGGTGTCCCTCTATATACACACAATCATGAAGTGAAGCTTACAAAGATTACAGGCGGAAATCAGTGTCCCCGGATACCAATATCGAACAAAAGGAGTGATGGAACTATCTATGCTGTTGGGTGATGGAGCGGGGCGGCTATGGTTAACGGAGTAATGAGGCTTACGACTGTCATTCGTTGAAAACACACATTATATGGAGTTGGATAAATCCAAGAATTCTATGACTACTACTATTATTATTACAACGTGCTATACCTTTACTCAAATTGTAGCCCACCATAATTACTCTCTGCACAAAGCTCGATGCTTGGTCATGCTGGGATGAACAATGATCATAGCGAGGGATATGAAGAGCCAATCAGACGAAGCAGATCATATCGCTGATCAATACCTAATTAGAACTAGCCCAACTCACCAATCAAGTGACCGCTTTCCCAAAGAAGAAGCATAATGATCCGTCAAATGATATCACGGTGGATGCATCAACTTATCTACTCACGCGTCTCGACATGTTGTCGCGCAATTGCTCCCCACTAGCTTGTTCTAAATGCCCCCAGTAGCTGTACGCGCCTCCCCTGTCAGTATCCATGTTACTCTAGCTAAAACCGTCTAGACGCCCTTTCGTGCCTCCTCTCGTCGCAGTGCAGGCCCGCAGTTCGCGTCAACCCCGCGGTTCTTCCTTTCCCAAACACCCGCTTCATCGAGGCCATCCCAGGAAGTCGACTCCATTGACCAAGATGACTTTGCGTATGCTACTCCTGCTCCATCCGCACGTAATATAAAACGTGTGAGAGAGCAGGTACCCACTCCTCACCCAAAAGAGTTCATCGAAGACTCGGACCAGCCAGACGATGACGCTGCACCAAACGAGGGCGAACTTCAGAGTAGCTCTCCGCCAGAACCAGGGGAGCTCGACGCCGCATTCGATGAAGTATTCGGATCTATACGAGACCGCCAGAAGAGACGTCGCGTCTCTGGGAATAATGACGCTGATGACACTCCCTCCGTTCAACGTCGGAGACCTGCCGACAGGATCCTGACCTCCTCCCCGGATCCCCCAGGAGCAGCAGACGAGTCAACCCTATCGGTAAACTTCCACACACCAAGGCAGACACGACCAGAATCAGGGTTCCGGAAACCCGTGCGGCCTGCAGAAACACCACATCCTGTAACACCAGCAAGCATCAACCCATCTTCTCTCCAACCCCGTCGTTTCGTGCTATCCGCATCGCAACTACCTCCAAGTAGCCAGACTCAAACCAACACCGCAATACCACCCTCGACCGCAACTCCGGCTCCAACCTCGCAGCGACGAACACCAGCATTCGTCCTGCCTCGCTCCCCCTCCCCTCAGGAGGACGATGACCCCACCGGCATCCCCACGCCGTTCTCGCCTTCCTCTCGTGCTCTCCGGCGGCGCGGCCGTCACCGTTCCACAGCGCACAACTATGTACCTGGTGGCATGGCAGCGGAAGTGCGCAGCTGGATTTTAGAAATGGGTGCGAAAAGGGAACAGCAACAGATGAGTCCGAGCTATTACCGGAGAACGGATTCATCCTCATTGCACCTCTACACGATAGCTATCCGGATAACAAGTGCTCGCCAATCGGCCCTGCCGAGTTGTGGTGCTCTGGTGTTCGCCCAGGGTCAACTCATCAGTTCTTCTGAGACCAACGAGACAGATACCGAGCCCCAGACTCAGATGAAGAACGTGCTTCTTCTTGGACCACCCCGACAACAGAAGTCCCGACATACAGCGACTAACGTTCCTGATCTTAACCCCGGGGATGTGGTCGGGGTTTTTCGAGGACTGGCTTGGGAGGTAGAGCTGGGAAAGCCTGCTCCGGCTTCAGAAATAGGCCTTGACCTGAACGATCTCATTCCATCGGACCGTTCACACGTCCAAAGCGCACGTAAATGGCACGTGGGCATGGAATGGGAACTAATCTCGTAGTAATATATGGCGATCATGTACATTATTTGATACCCAAGCACGCGACAATGCGAAGCTTCAACATTATGCTGAACATTCATCCATCGAATGAAATGCAAAGGAGATGAATCTATATACTATGCAAGCTTTTACCCCCCTCAACACCATGACCAAAACGCCATACCCACACAGCACAAGACATGTATGTACATCACTCAGCATCCCCTTCCTTAACCACAACCTTCAACGCATCCACCGCAACCTTACACCCCCACTTAACAACCTTCAACTCCTTCCCAGAAGGCACAATATCCGTCTTCGCGACCACCTTCCTCAAGAAGAATATCAATCCCTTAACAATCTGGGGCGTTTCTCTCGCGCGCAGGAAGATCTCCAGAAGCGCCTTCTCATCCTGCTCGTCCTCATCCTTCGACTTCGACTTCTTCTTTTTCTTCTGCTTTTGCGACTGCTGGATCACACTGATCAAGAGCAACTCCACAAAGGCCTTGCTCTTCGGCTGCAGATATGCGAAGTTAAGGATCTTAAGCACGCCCAGATTCAACGTCCCATCTGCGATAAGCGATCCGTACATCTTCGCAAGGTTGACGATGGATTTCATCTCGAGTTTGTTTTGGTCGTCTTCGTCGTCAAATGCGTCGTCGTCATCGCTATCGTCCATGTCGCCGGACTCGCCCATGCGTTTGAAGATGTTCCATAGCGTGTACATGAAGGATACCTTGATGCGACGGCCCATTTCGCCACAGAGGCGCTTCGCAATGAGCGTGTAGTAAGGGTTATGGGCTTCTTCTTCCATGGCGCAGTGGGTCAGGACTCGGGGGATCTCGAATTCCTGGGCGCGTTTGAGACGGAGTTTGAGGAGGCGGACGTGTGCGTCTTGGTAGTCGGTTGCGGACATGATGGCGACGAAGATGGAGCGGCGGACGTCAGTGTTCATGCGGTGCGCTTTGGCGATATTGACGAGGTCGGGCTCGGAGTCGCTGTCTGAGACGTCGGCGTGGGTGCTGTTCGTAGGCAGGCCGTTGAGTTCCTTCCGGGCGGACTCGAGAGGATCTTCGCGCCAGCTGGCGCCGACGAGCCACCATTTGCCCTTCTTCTCGGAGTTGTGGATATCGGTGCGGGAGATGCTGATGGGTTCGGAGGCCCGGATGACTCGTGTGTTGTTGAGAGAGCCGAGAATCTTGCGCATCTTGGTGATGTGTTCGGAGCTGATGCTGGCGTTCACGTTGGATTTCAGCTTGTTGTTCTTGAGGTCGGTGATGGTGTCGATCATGAACTTGGTACGGACGGAGAGGGCGGCTTCGCCGGCTTTCGCGACGGCGGGTTGGATGAGAAGGACGATGTCTTTGAGGGAGGAGGGGTCATCTTGTCGGAGTTGGGGTCCGGAGTCTGGTGTGGTTAGTACGGGCTTAAGAAGGAAGGGATGGGAATAACGTACTTCGGATGATCTTGAGGAGCAGTTCGGTGTTCTCCTCGGTGATTTCTTCGAGGAAGAGCCGGATGTAGTCGAAGACAAGAGTGCTTCCGATAACGTGGAAGTTGTACAGTTGAGACAAAAGAGAAATCAGGTTGATGGTCTCCTTTCCTTCGAACTTACCCCGTTCATCGCCGCGGGCATCGAAGGTCTCGACGATCTTCTGCACGATTTCCGCGCCAAAGTCCGTACCCACAATCTTATACACTGCAGCAATGAAACCCGCATGTAGAATGATGAAAGTATCCGACAGAGCAGATCTCTCGCAGATCAATCCGAATAGCAGAGAGATCAAGGTCGAGGTGACATTTTGACGAGGATGATCCCGGTAGAGCTTCTCGAACTCCGCGAGGATAGAGACCATGTTAGCTTCAGACAGCTTGTTCAGGTGACCCTGAGCCTGTCTCCTCAGGCGAACAAGAGACTCATCTTCTGAGTTAGAAGCAGCGCGAAGCGAAGGAGGAATGTACTTCTGGGGACGGCTTTCGGCTTCTTTGACTGGGGCGACGTAAGGGTTTTCCTTCTTCTTAGGAGCCGGCTCCTCTTCCTCATCCTCGTCCTCATCACCTTCATCTTCATCGAAATCGCCCATGGACTCGTCGTCGTCAAAGCCTTCAAGCCCATCTCCCATATCACTATCATCTTCCTCCTCAAAATCCTCCTCCTCAGGCTCCTCCAGGCCCTGCGCCTTTCTCCGCTTACTCCGTAGCCACTCATCAGCTTCCCTCTTGCGCTTCCGGCCCTCATCTGCAGAATCCTCATTCAAATCGCCCAGCAGATCACCCAGACCATCCTCTTCGAACGACTTCGGGAGCTTCTTGCCCTTTTTCAGACCGAGCTTCTTCTCCAGCGCAGCGATTTCCGCATCGTCCTCCTCGAGTTTTGATTGAACTGTCTTCGATATCGGGCGTCGCATTGTGACTTCGTTGTCCTCATCCTCATCAAGGTCAATATCATCATCCTCCTCCTCAGAACTCTCCACAGCCTTCGCCTTTTTCAAAATAGACTTGGGCTGTTTCTTCTCCTCCTTAGCAGGAGCAGGAGCAGCACCCTTCCCCTTCGCCGCTTTCGCCTTAGCAAGTTTCGCCATAACATCACCCGCATCCTCATCATCATCACCCTCATCTAAATCAAAATCGTCAAAGTCCCCCATACCCTCATCGTCATCCTCGTCATCATCATACCGACCCCTCTTCTTCGGAGGCGGCCCTCGCTGCTGTCGCTGAAACTGAGGCTGCTTCTTCCCGGAGCGTTCTTCCCGACGGCGTTCTTTCCGCGATGCCGGTCCGTTGTTCCTATTCTTCTTCTCGCCGTAGGTATCTCTAATTCCGAGTTCGGCGCGCAGGTCCCTCGGTAAGGAGGTCGTATTATGTCTAGGACGTCGCATGGTGAGACTTTCGTTTCATCCAAATCGGGGGGTTGTTGATTATTGGGTTGGATCAACTTTTTTTAATGCCGATTCAAAATTGGTCCCGCGGAGGCGGAGGACGGAGGCGGTGAGAGGCACTTGACTTTGGGGTGGATGCGTTTATCTCCGCTGGTCTTTAGCTGCTACTTAGATACTATCGCTGGAGTCTATTTGGTTTGAGTTCATTGCCAATTGAGCTGCCTGCTACACCTAAGTGCGGCACTACGTTCACATCTGCATTATATACCTGAATCTCATTCAAATACAACCACAACACAATCATCAAAAATGCCCGCACACCTGGGCCACGAGGAGGTACTTCACCCCCACAACCACAACCACAACCCCCAACCCAACCAATACTAACCAAACGAACCAGTTCTTCACCTCCCTCACCACCCTCCTAAGCACCACATCCCAAAAAACCCGCGGATCCGTTTACCTCACCCAGAAGCCTCTCCTCGACTCTACCAACACCCAGTCCCAACCATCCATCCTCATCCGCGCGACAGACGGCAACACCAACGCCCCGAACCCCAAGACGGCAGAGGCCAAGAAGAAGGTAGCGAAGGCGACATCAGCATCGAAAGTGAAGATTTCGACGGTCGTGAGCCCTGATGATCTGGAGGCGTTCTATGCGCGGTATGCGGAGGTGTGTAAGGCTGGGATGACGGGGTTGAAGAAGAGGGATCGGAAGAAGGGCAAGGCGAAGGGGAAGAAGGAGGGTGGGAAGGTTGTTAAGGGGTGATTTATTGTTTCTTTTGGGGGAGGGGTGGTGTGATGCATTATGGGCGTTAGTGGGATGATTTTATTCTATTATACGTACTTTTATTTGTTATATGGGAACATTATGCTTCGATGTATATGTGTTGAGTAGATAGGTTGAATGGGATGGTCAGTCTCGGCTGAAGATATAGTATCAGTATGATTAACTACTTCGCTAGAATACAGGAGATCAAATTATGGTGCTTGTCAGGTGTACATCAAAGACAGCCCACCCACAACCGTACAGATGCCGACTAGTGAAACATATGGGAAGGAACAGCGGAACAGTGAGAGATCATACAAATGCGTCATCGTGGGGGAGGAAAAACATCAGAGGGAATCGCAAGTGTCATCAGATGCAGAATACAGCGGTATACAAAAAGTGAAGAATGAATGTAAATGGTCAGACAAATGGTTTGATGCGTATCAGTCGGAACTCTCATCCGCAGACACCCCGGATCGGTCAGGAAGAGGCAAGTCGAAGTCATCCACAGTGTCCTGGGCATGGTCAACCTCATACTCAATCTTCCGGTTCAGGTCACCCATCGCGGATTCCAAGGCTGGACCGATGACAATGCGCGCGGCAATGTGGATGAGAACCACGAGCAGCTGGATCGGGGGAACCAGGACAAGTGTGCAGGTTTTATGAATGAGTGACGCCGCATCATGTTTCTCGGGTCTTGCGACTGCCAAAGACGATGCAGGTGGCATCGGGGATACTTCGCGCTCACGGGATGCTTTAGAGCGTCGGCGAAATTCGATGCTCATACTGCTGAGATTGGGGTTCGAATCGGTAGTTCCGGTGCGGCCTGCGACTGGACGTTGAATGTCGGGGACTATGGTTGGAATCGGTTTTATTTCGCGCTCGTGGAAGGCTCCAGGCATGTCGTGCGATGCGGGCGACAAGTCATCCCAGCAGTCGACATATACCGATAGTCGGTCTCTCGAGCGCTCTGTTTCCTGGAAGGGCTGTTCTTCAGACGGCGAATGAGTGTCACTATGTTCGGGCTGGAATTGCTCAGTACCCTCGGTCGATGTAGGCGTAGAGCAGGCGTCAAGTTCGGGTAATGTAGATAACGATGGTCCAAGGGAGTGGAAGGATTCAACGCTCGATGAGAACGTTGTTTCAGGATCAACCTGGTCTTTGGGTTTATCTTCAAACCTTGCCAGCAAGGTCTGGAAATTTGGTTCGGGTTCCGGGTCTGGGCGCGTGGAAAGGTCCACCTGTTCGGATGTCTGAGGCGCTTCCGGAGATTCGTTATCATCCGGGATAGTCTCCAAGATAGTACTGTTACTGGGACTGTTACTGGCCTTGGTCGAAAAGCCGCTGTCATCCGTCGCTTCGCCATCCGTGTCTTCCCCGGCACTCACTGAGTCTTTGGTGAGGTCCTCCTTCGACTTGGACAATCCGTGGTAGTAGACTGAACTGATGGGGGCACTTTCGCGACGACCCTTGGGACGCCAGGCCCTCTTCCTCCGGGGCGCTTTGGCCTCCTCCGGTATCTCAACGATGAAACCTCTCTTGAAGGGGCATGGTGTCACTTCGTAACGGAGGACCCTTGGCAAGACATTTTTCATCTCCGTGACCAAAACCTTATTGTCGTCGGTGTCGGCGGGGAGCTCAATGCGATAGTAGGTCAGAGGGCGAATGCGCAAGACAAATGTTGACTCGCCGTCGACACACCAACATTGCGAGTTCTTGAGGATGGCATGGACGACATTGCCGCACTTGAGAAAGACAGTGAGGCCGTGAACATTCTCCAGGCGAAGCGGGCCAAGAGCGACCGTTCGTTCGGTAGGGGATCTCCAAGGAAGTGTCTCAACGGTATCAACGGGATAGTCGAAGTCGGAGGGCGCAGTACTGGAAGGGATCGGGGCGAGCGCTCTAGGGGCAAAATGGACGACTTTGGCAGAAGGATGGTAAAAGAGATCGTTCTCCGACGGCCTCAGCGACTCGGATTGCCGCCGAGGTCGGGTAATCAGTTTGGAAGGAAGAGTTGCAGACCGGCGAAGGGATTGGGTCTGGGGTAGTGGCGCATCCGAGGAATTAGACATTCTCGATCATGGGGACTAAGGAAGGTGAGAAAGGAGATGGATTACATTGAATAAGATATGAGGGACAGGATTAGGTAGGATGTGGATGAAAAAGATAGCAAGTGAATGCGAGTAGGAAGGGATAAGGAGAGACGATCAGCAGGGGGGGGGGTGTATGGAATGAGGTCAAACGAGAGACGAGAAGCTGGGGTGGTGAGATAATGGATAATGGACGGGGGATTCCCAGCGAGTGACCCTTCCCAACTTGGTTCCAACTCAATAAATTCATGGGAAAAGTATGGAATTGCCCCAATCGGGTCTAACCCAGCGGGGACTGATCGTGGCCTGAGGCAGTCATGCGCCGGTCACCTGCCCTACGCCGCAGTGTGGGGCCCGGCGGCTGCTGGCCTGGCGTCTGGCGGCTACTCAGCCAGTCGGAATTGATCGCTATCGCACCCGCGCGTCATTGCCTTAGCATTATGTGGTTGCCTGTGGCTGTTTCCCCCTCGGCAGCCAACGCACAACTATAAATAGTACGATGCTCCCTTTCTGCTAGACGGTCCCTGATCTTCAAAAGTACTCAAGTATCTCTTGGGTGTACATCATGGGCAATTTCGATCATAACGCCGTGATTCGCGGCGCTCAACTGACGGTGGTTGCAAGTAAGTCCGGCCCCTTTTGCCTGCTTGAGTCCTGGGGCTTCTAGTAGCCAATGGCTGTGCGACTTCTTTCGCCTTGCGTAAAAGGGGGAGCGGCAGATGTTGGAATTATAGGGGTCTGCGTGGTGCTGAATGTCAATGGCTCAGCACGGCCGAGTTCCCTAGTAGTTCCATGATCGACAGCCATGGCTGGCTAGCTACCCGCTTGGTTCTTTGGGGAAACACGGCACGAGTCCTACTTTACCCGCAGCTAACGTAGCTGAACAGCCGTTCGCGCATTGCGGAACCCTGACCTGTTCAAGTACGACCACTTTCGACAGGCCGCCTTTGCTGTCGCGGTCGGTGTGGGTGTCGAGCTCCTCATCCAGATCCCCGTATGTGACTACCCTCTAGCTATCCTCTAGCTACCCGCTTGCACAACAACGAAACTGACAAGGTGTGCTATAGATCATCGCACTCAAGATTGGGCTTTGGTTCATCTCATGGATTGTCGACCTCGAGAGTGTAACTTGGGACGACTCCCTCATTGAGGGTCTCGACTTCCTCTCCAAGTCTGTCCTCCATGTCCCCTTCCTCATCATGTCGTTGATGCGGTACATCACTCCGACATTGGATGAAATGTAAGCCACCATTCCTCTACATAGTGTGCACGTGCTGATTGGTTAGCTTCATGGAATCGTTGAAATGGGTGGACACGACCTATGTCGATAAGCACAAGGCAGAGGACCCGAGCACTCTGCGTGCCATGTACTACCCGAACCTTTCCATGTATAACGCCGGCGATGGCAAGGTCAAGTCCACTGCGCCGAAGAAGTCGGCCAAAGAAAGAATCGTGGTGTTCCTTAGGAGGTCCGGCCAACGAGCCGCTCTGCTCCTGGGCGTGTCCATTTTGTCTCTTGTGCCTGTTGTCGGACGCTTTGCCACTCCAGCAGCTTCCTTCTTCGCCTTTAAGGATGCTGTGGGAACTACCCCTGCGGCTGTCATCTTCGGAGCTGGCTTGATCTTCCCGAAGAGCTACGTTGTTTCCTTCCTGCACAGCTTCTACGCCTCTCGTACCCTGATGCGTGAGATGGTAAGTCACTCTAGCCACATTATCGATGGAACAATCCTAACGGACAACCAGCTCGACCCCTACTTTAGCCGCGTTCCCTTCACCCCCGAGCAAAGAAACCGCTGGTTCGCCGACCGTCAGGGCGTCCTCTTCGGTTTCGCCTTTGCATTTACAGTTGTGCTGAAGACTCCCTTCATTGGAGTTCTCCTGTACGGCATTGCGCAAGCCGCCACGGCGTATCTCGTCACCAAGGTCACGGACCCCCCGCCGCCCCCGTCGGAGAAGGAGGGCTTCGCAGAGACCCAGGTGACCTGGAAGAACAAGCACGAGTTCCTGCGCCTGTCGCTGGACAACATTGACCAGCTGAACAAGGCTGTAGAGGAGGAAAAGCCCAAGGCGCCTGAGGTGCCGGGCCGGAAATTCGAGTAAGCGAGCAGCTGAGGGATGAGTCGTGAGGAGGACTGGAGTTTTGCCTACAAAAGTTGATTATGGAAAACCAAACAGTCGAGACTGTACGTTACAGTTAGGGTTCTGCATAGTGCATGCAAGCATGCACGCATCTTATTGTTATAAGTTTTGGGGTTATCGTTATCATAGACAAAAAGACTGCCGTGGAATCAAACCACATCCTTTTTTCCCCGCTGATAAGCGCGTCGACCCTGATAAGATAAGGGGAGCAGGGCGGCGCTCCGTAATTCCTATTCGGTCTTGTGATAAACAAAGTTGGACCAGTTCGTGAGGGGAAGTTTCGGGTGCCATGGATTGAGGGGTTGGTTGCATTCGTTTAGTACAATTTATCTGGTAGTATTAAGAGGTGGACTCCCCTACCCATGCGGAGGGGAAGTGTTCCATCTCACCATCTAACCCCCAATCCGTCCATCCAATCCATCATCTAGTATTACAAGCGTCATCAACAGCATCAACAGAGATCCACCATGGGCCACAAGAAGATCCGCACCGCTCTCTCAGTTGATCTGAACAAGCCAGCCTGGGAGCAGCCTGGCCTCCACGTAAGTGCTCCATGAACCGTATAAGCAGTAACACAATCGTAGCACTAACCCATCCTTGTAGAACAGATGGCATCCAGACGGTACTACTCCTCTCCCTCCATACTAACCACCAATCTAATCAAGAATTGTATACAAATAGTCCCCTCCTACGCCAAAATCGCCAACAACGAAGTCGTCAAAATCGAATGTCTCGACTGGACGGGCGGCCAAATCAAGAACAACGATTCGGCCGACGACATCAAAAACGTCGACCTCACGCAGATCCACTACCTCTCCGGCCCATTTGAGATTGAGACTGCAGAGCCAGGCGATGTCCTCCTCGTCGAGATTCAAGATGTGCAGCCCTTCGAGGACCAGCCGTGGGGGTTCACGGGTATCTTTGAGAAGAGTAATGGGGGTGGGTTTTTGGATGAGATTTATCCGGAAGCGTATGATATCCTCTCCTTCCTTACAGACTTCAGCATGTATAAATAATTGATGATGCTAATGAAAAGGCGGGGATATGTGCAGTGCAAAAGCCATCTGGGACTTCGAAGGCATCTTCTGCTCCTCGCGGCACATCCCGCACGTCCGATTCGCAGGTCTCATTCACCCCGGTATACTGGGATGTGCGCCATCTGCTGAGGTCCTGGCAGAGTGGAATCGTCGCGAGGGAGAGCTCATCGCTGCCAATACTACCCTTGGACGAGACGTTGCGAAGCCTCCGGAGCCGAAGAGCGCGCATGCAGGTAGTGCAACGGACGAGGAGGTGAAGGCGAAGATAGCGAAAGAGGGGGCGAGAACTATTCCTGTATTTCCCCCATCCCCCTTTTAATACCCCCAGTTAATACTAACAAAAGTACAGGGCCGCCCCGAACATGGCGGCAACTGCGACATCAAGAACCTCTCCCGGGGCTCAAAAGTCTACCTTCCGGTACACGTCCCGGGGGCCAAATTCTCCGTCGGCGATCTACACTTCAGCCAAGGCGACGGGGAGATATCCTTCTGCGGAGCGATCGAAATGGCAGGGATAATCACTCTCAAGTTCACGGTCCTTAAAGGAGGTATGGAGAAAATGGGCATGAAGTCTCCCATTTTCCACCCGGGGCCTGTGGAGCCCCAGTTCGGACCGGGGAGGTATCTCACGTTCGAGGGGTTCTCGGTCGATGAGAATGGCAAGCAGCATTATCTTGATGCGACTGTTGCGTATAGACAGACTTGTTTGAGGGTGATTGAGTATTTGAGACGGTATGGGTATAGTGATTATCAGATCTATTTGTTGTTGAGTTGTGCGCCGGTGCAAGGGCATATTGCGGGGTTGGTGGATATTCCCAATGCGTGTACGACGCTGGGGGTGCCGATGGATATTTTTGATTTTGATATTAGGCCTGAGGCGGAGGTGGTCAGGTTGGATATGGGGAGTTGCGCGTTTAGTTCGAAGTAGTTGTTCGAAGTAGGTGGGTGGGTTGGAGTTGTAGGAATGGTGTTGGGGAGAGGAAGAGAGTATGTGGTGTTTGGGATGGGTTGTGGAAGCTTGAGTGTTTGTAAGGTGTGCGTTTGGATGCAGGCCAATATTACTTGAGATGCTGAGAGGTCAATATTCTATAAACTTCAAGTCGAGAGTAAACACTGGACTGAGTTGAGGAATTTACTACTCCAGAGCTCGAGCTTATACAGTAATAAAGTCTTACGAAAGAATTGGTATAGAGCTGCTACATTGTGAATGACTCTGTAAATATAGAGATTCTGATAGTCTACTTCTTCTGAGAAAGGGATAGCTTGTACGTCATACCACCCGATTGTCGCTCTGATTCTCTGCCATCCTCCGATAAGTCGATGCAGTAGCAATACGCGCCCTCTTCCCCCAGATCAATAGGGGAATTGGGATCGAGTAGATGAAAAACGCCACAACCGCAATCAAGATGTGAAGGTTCTGCATGCCCATACCATTAACCCAGGGTGTCAAAGTGAAGAGAACAATGACAGCAATCACATTTCGCATGAAGACTACACCGACTAGAGTGTCGCCAACGATCTATTATACATTCGCGTTAGTGTTCGTGATTATACTTATCCAAAGGAGGGACTGTATGTACTCACATCCTGGTAGCAATCCATGAGATAGGACAGTGAGATACCACTGCTGCACGAAAGAACAAACCCAAAGATACCATAGCCAACTGCTAGTACAACCCAGTGAGCACCCTATGAGAATGTTAGCCAACCATGGAAAGGTACAGAGTAGTAGAAACGTACATATGCAAGCCCAAGACCAAACATCAGTATCGATCCTGGACCCAAAGCTATTATAGGAAGCGAAAGCCAAAGACGCATCTCAGGCTCGTAAATGCCATTGTTTCTCTTGGACAACCAAAGGATGGACTTGTCGCTCAGATAACCTGAAATCGGAAAGCCTAATAGGCTGCCAATGAATGGCGCCACATTCATCAAGCCGATGCCGACTGAACTAAAGTTGTACGGCGGAAGAATCATATATGTCGCTTGGAGCGACGTCATGACTGCAAACCAACACAGAGTGGAGCCGTATGTAAGTGCAGTATATGTCACTGCCGGGAAAGTAAACAGAATGACAGCCGGCTGCCACACGTGAGGCCATATAGATTCATCAGACGGTGTGAAGAGAGCCATTCTCTGAAGGTAGGTCTTTAGCTCACTTCCAGGCCGCGTGGTAGCACATCTTTCCACGGATCGTTCGAACCCTTTCTTATCATCGGATGACAGCCTGCCCTTAGGAGCCTCAGAGCACTCAGGTTCTTCCACACCAGATACCTGTACATCTGGAATAATTTCCTGGGCATCCAAAATTGGGAGAAACTTGGATTCTTCGAAAAGGAAAATCACACACAGCAGGATAACGGCGAAGAAGATCACGCACCACCACCATGTCCACCGCCAACCCTGGGATTCCACGACATATCCTGAGGCGACAGGTCCCAGAAAGGCTCCAACTGACTGAAAGAGCACAAATAAGCCGTTCATGGTGGCATGTTGGTGGACGAAGAAAAGATCAGCTACGGTCATTTGTACAATGATCTCGCTGATAGCACCACCCAGACCGGAAATCAGCATCGCTCCGATGTAGTCACCGAAGGTAAAGACCTTGGCATTCCACACGCTCGCAGCCAGCTGCAATGCTGAGGCAAAGATATAGATAGGGCGACGGCCATATTTACGGGCGAGAGGGAGCAGAAAAAAGCATCCGACAGCAAGACCACCGTAGTTGGTCGCTGTACCGGCATTGAGCTGGTCCACTGTGAAGCCAAGCTCTGTTTCCATCGGACCCCATGCGGTGAAACCTATGTCTAGCTCCACGAAGGTGAAGAGAACAAATAGGCTGACTAGAGTGTAGTTGAGAGTCTTCCGTGCCTTGGACCAATTCAAAGGGTCATCCGGGTCATCCGAAGGAGTAGGGAAGAGGACCACACTGCTGCCGTGGACTACCCGTGGTCAGTCCTATACATGCACTTATCCAGAAGAGCTCTTACTATCTTCGAGGGTGACTGTGCCCGGAGCCCAGATGGGCTCCTGCTCTCGCTGATAATTCGCCATACCAGCTGTGATGTAACGGCAAGCCAAATTCCTCGTTTGTGATGTAGCCACCGATGCATGGGACACACAAGTCTTATCATTATATTCACATCCCGCATTACCCTACCCCTTACGGGCACCTCCCCATTGCAGCGACATTCGGAAACGAGGCTTATCGCACGGAGATGCAGCAGAGGGATCAGAGATAACAGCCCGTTGGAGTCATTGATGCGGGGTTGCCAAGCGGAGAAAAGCAAGTACCGATGATAGCTTAATATTTAGTTGTTATTTGGTGTTTCTTAGAATGCATCATGATAGTCCTATCACAGCGTAGCATCTTGACGTAAGGAACACTGAGTAACAGCGTGAAAGAAGCCGTCTGGCAAGGCGCAAGGAGCGATTCCGGCATTTGTCAAATGGTGATAATGCCGATGAGACCCTGGGGTACAAGCAGACGGAAGGCCTTCATATGCAAGTTGCAGCATCTCAGACAGATAAAGAAAGTGCACGGACTGTTGGTCTTACTCGATAAAGAAAGTGCTGCCGATACATTGCTCGGGAGGCCCGCATGACCATCCGACATGCAGATGCATGCATATAGGTGCATTATGGGTTATCGCTCATCAGTTCGCTGCGGTTGGAGCTTGGAATTTCAGAAGCTTTCACCTGTCGTACCAGATAGAACTGATAATCGATACAATAAACTATTCCTGGATTATCTTGTCACATCTGATATACGCTGTCCAGAGGCATTCTTCAGCTTTGAAAAGATGCGTGACAGGGCTATCAAGTTGGTCTGCAGTGGTGTCAGCACAGCTAAACAACATGGCTGTTGATCAAGAGCATACACTTTTGTTTCGCGAAATCTCCAACGATCACAACTTTTCGGTCCAGCTTTGCGTTAGGAGCTCAAGACGCGAGAGCTTAGGATGGCTATTCAGCATGATCGCTGACCTGTCATTGCCTCTCCACTGACCTACATATGATCGATGTGGATGGGAGGAACATTAGTGAAGAATTTGAATGCAGGAGACGATGAATATTCCACAGAAGATTAATCTTTGGGTGATTTGCGCGATAAAGATCTTTGTCTAGCATCCATGTGAATCCCAGGCGACAAAGTTGTACCAGCAGCCGGCTGGGAGCTTCCGTTCTTTAACACTGCTGTGGATTAAGCGTTATAATCCGGTGAGTGATTGTTCAAAGACGGAAGAAATTGTCTTGGAAAAATCTCTCCATAACACCATCCCCGCAATCTAGTTCATGACACCTTGATCGGGATACATTCGAATGCGCATCCTCCTATCTCATTGGAGCGATTATATATTGGAGCTAGAAGAGAAAAGGAAATGGGATGATACTCCGGTTCTTGCTCTGTGGAGAAGCCTTCTTGGCATGGAGATAGATAGACGATGGTCGATCCTCCGAGAGGAAATCAACAACGACGTCAACATGCCTCATTCACAGACATGACAGGTAGGGCAGCAACATCATCATGTTTACCCGCATTGCATGTGTCTCTGAGTAAGTTGGGCCGGGAAAGAGAAAAGTGCAAAAAGAAAAAGAGAGTGCATCATCCGTGAATCGAACACGGGCCTCATCGATGGCAACGATGAATTCTACCACTAGACCAATGATGCTGAAGCTGCAAACCACTGCGTTATCTGATTCGCTGCTTGTATTTTTCGTGCTTTTATCGATACAAGAGACTACTTCGTTCAATATGTTGCGTACTTAAGGTACAGCCTTATCTTGGTGTGGAAGTAGTTAAAGTATATCGCAGCCATAATACTTTCTGTTGTTTTTCTACATCTTTATGATGTCCCGTTATGTCTTCTTTCAAAAAACATCATCCTGGTTTTCTTGATTCGAAATAATTTGCTAGGACATGACCATAAGCTAGTCTACTAAAGAATCATGATGAGTCTTGCCTAAAGACCAATGACAATCTTAAGCCAAAACTGGCCGTATAGCACCCGTGCGCGGGATGGTGCTTTGTTTGCAGATAACATCGGTCATGACTCGTACATAATTGCGATGGAGATATTTATTCGCCTATATTTTCAAGGTTAGAAAGTATATCACATTGAATCTCTCCTTCCAAATTCACCAAAAAATACCAAACTCCCCAATATAACCAGGCACATAAGCACGCAGCGGCATCAAGCATTCATTATAAATCAACCACGAGTAACCACTACAATACACCAATCAGCTCATCCCAAAATTCCTCGTCATACTGAGTGAGAATGATGGTCACCAACCAACACTACATATAAATACCGTTTATAATCACCAAAAACTAAATAGCAGTAATCAGAAACCATTAATCGCCCCTACCATCTCTCGTAAATCCATCTTCATCCCACCTTAGTTTTCATCTTTCCCATTCCAGCTAACTTTACTCAGCACCCATCTCATCCTAAGAAAGAAACAATGTCTAACACCACCACCAACCAAACCCTTCTCGCAGCCAAATCCTGGCTCCAGGATTATCACTCCCTAGGCGACCAACTCACACCCGAAGTCGCCGTTCCTAAATTCTATGCTCCAGACTGCGAGATGAGATTCCCAGGCCACTCTCCGATCAAGGGCCAGGAAGCAATCATCAACTTCTTCAAAGAGCAGTCTACGATCCTGGAGAGCATGAAGCATACTATTGGTCATGTGGACGTTCTTCCTGATCGCATCTATCAGGAGGCGACTATTGAGTACGTTTTGAAGGGTGATGATGAGAAGAAGGTGGTTAGTGTTCAGGGTATAGCAATCTTTGGGAAGGGGGTGGATGACGATAAGATGAGGTTTTTCACGGTGTATCTGGATAGGAGTCCTTTGGTGGAGAGGGTTAGGGTTATTAGTGCTAAGGGTGGTGGTGAGGGGCAGTGAGATCGGATAGTATAGACATGTTTCGCAAGTGATTGATGTGGCAATGGACTGTGACTTGAGCTGACTATGTGAAACGTCCTAGACTCTCGGGTATCTGGTGTGAGTTCCGCATCGAAATGATTGTTGTATTTATGAAACATATTCTCAGAGTAGATGATGCTAGTAGGCATACACATCTTAATGAACAGCAATGCATTAAATCATAAAGGTCATTCAAACAGAGGTATGGCGATGTCCTCACTGACGTCCTGTTTCGGCCAAAAACTTCTCATACCGAGGCTTACATTTCCGCCGCCAATCCTTACCCCAGATAATCATCGGAGCACCCGCAGCCATCGAAAGGACAACCATGATACCATAGAAGGTAAAGGTCCAGCCGTAGTTGGTGCCGTCGATGAAATCCTGCACCGTAAAGGAGATGACAAAGTTGATTATCGATGAGCAGCATGCCAGTACAATGACGAGCTCACCAGAGATCTGGACGGAGAGCATTAGCCACCTAGTACAAGATTGTGGATGTAAAAGGCTTACCTGTTCGAAGCACTCCATTGCGTATGCGGTTGCGATACTGGTGGCGGATACCTGCTGAGCAATCATGCAGCACAGGCCAACTGCAATGGACATCCAGTGAAGCCCCTCGGTAGCACCCCAGCCGTAGACGAAATAGCCAACCGCAGCAAGTACAAGGGGGATAGAATACGTCCATAAACGCATCTCGGGTTCCTTATAACCCTTGTTCCGACGTGCCAAAAAGACGACAACCCAATCAGACAGTGATCCAATACCCATGCTGTCACAAGATTAGCATTTTTCATGAAACTAGTGATAGGATACATCATACCCAAGAAAGTTGCCAACCAGTGCTGCCAAGAAGATTAGGCCAGCAGAACCGGCACTCCAGTTATATGGTGCCTCCGTCATGATCTCAGAGATGGTATTAAACGAGACAATACCTGCAGTGCAGCCAAATGCAAATTGAATACCGGCTAGAAGAATATTGGGAAACGCGAAAAGAAAGAAGGGACGGCGAAAGTACTGGTACCAAGTTGTGTTGTCGTCTTTGAAGTAGTGAACCGGAGACATCTTTTGGAGGTAGGTTCGCGGAGGCATGTCCATCTCCCCGACAGTGCGACTTTCCACGATGGACATCGGCGGTTCAACCTTGGAATCTTTTCCCTCCGTGGTTGGGGTGTCAGATGGAGTGCGAGCTGTCTCGTTTTCGGCCTTGGTGGTTCGCTGAGGTGTCTCACCCGAAAAGCGATACCTCGGGAACATCGTGTCATCAAAAGTAAAGATAAAGAGAAGAATCAAGACAGCCTGTTAAAAGTTAGCTGTCTGATTATAGCAGACTAATCTGGGTACAAGGACACTGACGCATGCTATCGACACGATGGGCATACTCCATCTCCAGCCAATGCCGTCAGAAATGTAACCGCCACAGATCAGCCCGATAATAGATCCAAGCTGTTGAAAGAAAATATAGATGGACAGCATTCGGCCGCGCTCATGAGTGAAAAACACGTCGAAAATCTAAGATGTGTTAGCATACCGAAGTGAGCATTTCAGAAACGTAGCATACAGTCAGCTGGATCAGAGCTTGATAGGCCGCAGTTCCGATCCCGTTGACCACCATCATAATGTAGTATTGCGAAACACCCTGATAGAAGCCACCCCAGATACCACTTCCAAGGACGAACAGCAAACTAAGTATGTAGACAATTTTGCGTCCAAATCTCATGGCCGTAGGGATCCAGATAATGTTGAAGAAGCCCATAAAGCGGAGCCACCGTTCATATTGTTCAGGCTCACACCAGTATCATCAGATATAGTTGTCCATGCCGCACCCCAGTTGTTCTCCCCAAAGGAGTTAACGCATGCATACATGGAGATCAGGAAGAGGGTCCAGTATTTCTTGTAAAGAGGCCAGTTCTAAATTGGGTCAGCACGAACTAAGTGCCATAGGTTCCCTTCATCTGCTACCCACCAGAGGATCAGCTGAAAAGGATGTAGGCTGAGGGATAAGAAGGACATCTTGCGTCCCAGCATGAGCTACATCTCTCAAACTCCCCGTTGCTGAGTTCGACGTCAGTAGTGATTGAATGCAGCTTATAGAAAGAGCCTACCATCAACCAGGTACACCGTTCCTGGAACATCTGTATCTATAGCATCAGAGCGAGCCATTTTGATCGTGTGAGTTAATATAAAACTAGGGAGGCAGCCATGAGGGGGTTGAAGCGTCTTTTTAAGGCTGATGAGGACTACTAGCGGTCACAACCATACTAGACCTGCATACGACCCCGTCGAAGTATATAGAGCCCTTGAAGTCCCTTTTTGGCGTCCGATTGGATGGTCATCCCGAGCGTATCAGTATGGCCAAGCTCGATAACAGGGGATGATCATTTGCCTCCTCTCGTCTGCCATTGCTCTCGCGGAAAGCCAGCGGCAAAAGAATCAGAATCGGCTGAATGGAGCATACCCGAGGTGATAAGGTAGGGGTGGAGACGGAGAGACACGAGAAGTATTGCGAAGATAGTCATTCTCAGATAAGTTGAGTCATGGAGGAAGCTCCAAACGAAAGGTTATCTGGGCGGTTGATATCGATTAAGCCTGCCGAGGCGGAGGAAAATGCGGAGAAGCTGCATGATTTCGCCGGTTTGACATGGCTCGAAGTCGGTATCATCCGCACGCGAGTGGATCATTGATGTAGGCGAGCTTGATAGCGTCCACGGAAAAATCCCGGACGATCATTGACGCGATTATCTCCAGGCATCTGGGGGTCATGAATGGATGATGGACGAGAAGACCGAGTGATACGGAGACCCCAAGGAAGGTCCAACCGGGACGCTAATCTAGATCGGGAACCCCGGCACGGACACTATTCTGTGGCCTGGTTTGAGTTGCTTCCATCTTCAGCGGGACTATGGACTCCGGATAAGGCCCAGCCAGGTCCCCAATGTGCCCAATGCTGGCAGTTAGTTGGCACTCAGTGGATACCATCTGATGTAAGGGCGCCGTTGAAATACGGCCTCGTTGCCCGTCCACCTCAAACCTCCAAATCACTGCGAGAATCAGTTAAAGACAAATTACAATAACAGTCAGCATGGCACCCTCCACGGTAACCCATGATTCTACCATCCTCGTGGTGGGAGCGGGTGTATGGGGTTGTTCTACTGCTTTGCATTTGGCTCGTCGCGGATATAAGCATGTCACAGTTCTAGACCCCTACACGGTCCCATCCGCAATCGCAGCCGGCAATGATATCAACAAGATCATGGAACACAAGGAGCCCAAAGGTATGTCTGCACCGTTCAGTTAATGGCCATCTTCCATCGCTAACAACTCCAACAGCAGGCGAAGAAAGTCCACGCAGCATTGCGTTCGCGACGTGCACTCGTGCCGCTCTGAAAGCGTGGCGGACGGATCCTGTTTTCAAGCAGTACTTTCATGAGACCGGTGTCATAGTGTCCGGTCATACCCCGGCACTCATTGAGCACATCCGCAAAGACGAAATCGAGTCATCTGATGCAGACTTTGTCGAATTGAAGACAGCTGAAGACTTCCGAAAGACAATGCCTCCAGGTGTTCTCACTGGCGAGTTTCCTGGCTGGAAGGGCTGGTTGAACAAGTCGGGTGCCGGATGGATTCATGCCAAGAAAGCCATGATCTCTGCGTACACTGAAGCCAAGCGTCTTGGGATCAACTTCATCACTGGATCTCCCCAGGGGAACGTTGTATCACTAGTATACGAGAACGGAGATGTGGTTGGAGCTAAAACGTCCGATGGGGTCATTCATCGAGCAGACCAAACCATTTTGGCAGCGGGTGCGGGAAGTGACCGTCTCCTGGATTTCAAGAAACAGCTGCGTCCTACTGCCTGGACGCTCTCTCATATTCAGATGACCCCTGAGGAGGCCAAGCAGTACAAGGATTTACCCGTGCTTTTCAATATTGCGAAGGGGTTCTTCATGGAGCCTGATGAGGATAAGCACGAACTGAAGATCTGTGACGAGCATCCTGGATACTGTAACTTTATTCCAGACCCTGCAAGATCCGGCGAGATCAGAAGCATCCCATTTGCGAAGCATCAAATTCCCCTGGAGGCCGAAGCTCGCGTTAAGGACTTCCTGCGGGATACAATGCCACACTTGGCCGACCGTCCGCTGGTATTTGCCCGTATCTGCTGGGATGCTGACACGGTAGATCGCGCCTTTTTGATCGATAAACATCCTGACCACCCTTCACTGCTGGTCGCCGTGGGAGCTTCTGGGAACGGGGCTATGCAGATGCCCACTATTGGAGGGTTCATTGTGGATGCACTGGAGGGTCACCTACAAGATGAGCTAAAACATGTCGTTCGGTGGAGGCCAGAAACAGCGGTCGACAGAGACTGGAAGTCGACACAGAACCGTTTCGGAGGACCAGATGCGGTTATGGACTTCCAGACGGTTGGCGAAACTGAATGGACCAAGATCAAGAGCCGGCTATAGATGAGCGGTCATGTATGAGAGCGAAATGTAAATAGTGATATTGCCATGAAATATCAGCTTATGATTATACCTTCCATAAATACTTCTCTCCCTCGAAAATTATTGTATTTTCTGATAGCTTGCTACTTAAATTGTAGTTCAAAGTATCATAGGCTGTCATGCTGTTAATAATGTTGTTTGTTGTTGTCCAATCGCCCACACATGATAGCTGCCTTGCGCTAGTTTAGCTGGACTGCCTTGATTATCTAGAGAATACTGAGTACCTTGCAGTTGTACTATTATAGTTGCTGCAGTATGCCTGTGGATGCATGTGAGAATTACAAGCTCGGACTCCCAGATACTGCAGTACAGCACAGGCAAGTGGCAGAAACTCGGCACATAAAACGAATGGGAAACTGGCTTCTTCATGCAAGTCCAAAACAAGACTATAGCTTGTAGCTGGCTAAGCACCAACCTTAGAACCAAGGGGCCGGACCTCTGATCTCATGTGTTTCATCTCAATAAAGGTCTCAAGATCCCATAAGACAGGATCCTTGCAATAGTAAGGAATCAGCCCCATGGTTAGGCAGAACCATATCATATTAAACCTGGATCATATACGCATCAGCATCACTCCGATAGGATGGTTTGTTAATAACCAGTGGCTGTTAACTGGGTTGAGCAATTTCCTGCAAATGATCACTGGACAGTCTGCACCATCGCTTCCAACGCAATGTATGGGAGCGATGCTTTGCAATTGAGTGCCAGATAGTATTTTAGCGACAAAGTAATGCGTGGCTGTAAATTGCAGCGTGAATAAAATCCTTGTATACTATTGTTTGTCTTAAGGCAATGGAGGCAGGGAACGGGAGAAGCCGTCCTGATCATGGCGTTGCCCCAGACTGACAGGCCGGTGCTCCACTGGAGATGAACGGATGGTAGATCCTAGATCTCTCTATTTCAATTCCCAAAAATAAGCGCCGGCTGGTGACAAGAAGCTTGGGGGTTAGTGAGAGGGAATGGTCGACATTCCGTGGAAGGAAGCGGCCGGGCACCGGGGAAGAAGATGCGATGGAAGCTTCTTGAAGCATCGCAGCCAAAGGCTGGTCCAGCCCACTTCCTCTCCTCTTTACCTCGTTCAACTCCGCACCTTAGCTCTTCCTCTTCCCTCAACCTCTCTCATTTGTCCCATCCCTGTTTCTACAGCTTCTCCCTTCGTGTAACTTTCTTCTCTACCTTCCTCTTCACCCATCAACTCCTTCCAACCACCATAATGGCCGAGTCTGAGCGTACGTTCGATTCTTCGAAAGCGGGGGAAGCAGCCTCAACAGCAGATTACTGATTGCGCTTAACTCACAGGCCGCCCCCGTGTTTTCTTCGACATCCAGATCGGTAAACAGCAGACCGGTCGCATTGCTCTTGAACTGGTATGTCTACTTCCTACCTGTCCAGCATTTGCCTGTCGTGCTTGATCCAGTCTCGCTAACTACCCCGCCTATGCAGTTCAACGATGGTACCGTGCAGGCTCTCCCGTAGAGTAATTACGCGCATATTCCTAACCATGGGCAAATAGTCGTTCCCAAGACCGCGGAGAATTTCCGGGCTCTGTGCACTGGCGAAAAGGGCATGGGCAAGCAGGGCAAGCCATTGCACTTCAAAGGTACGGCGATCCAATCCGGCAGCCTCAATTTTTCCTTCCCCTCCCCCGCTCCGGCGGGGCCGTGTACACGAAAACTACACGAAAACACCAGAACATCGCTAAATTGCAGTCTTTGAATAGGCTCCATTTTCCACCGTGTCATCAAGCAGTTCATGATCCAGGGTGGTGACTTCACCGCGTTCAACGGCACGGGCGGCGAGTCGATCTATGGAGAGAAATTCCCCGACGAGAACTTCGACCTTAAGCATGACCGCCCCTTCCTTCTCTCCATGGCCAACTCCGGCCCCGGCACCAACGGCAGTCAGTTCTTCATCACAACCGTGCCCACCCCCCACCTGGACGGCAAGCACGTTGTCTTCGGTGAGGTGATCAACGGCAAGAGCGTTGTCCGCAAGGTCGAGAATATGTCTACCCAGGCCGACAAGCCCACCACCGATGTCACTATCGTCGACTGCGGAGAGCTCACCGGTGACGAGTACGAAAACGCTGATAAGCAGATCCCCGATGCGACTGGCGATCCTTATGAGGACTTCCCCGATGACCACCAGGGCGAGGAGCTGAGCGCCCCTGTCTGCTTTAAGATCGCTTCTGAGCTCAAGAACTTCGGCAACACCGCTTTCAAGAGCGGAAACCTGACCCTCGGTCTCGAGAAGTACCAGAAGGGTTTGCGTTATCTCAACGAGTTCCCTGAGCCCGATGAGCAGGACCCCAAGGATCTGGACCCCCAGATGAAGGCCCTCCGCTTCACTCTGCACTCGAACTCATCTCTGCTTGCTAACAAGCTTGGTCAGTTCAAGAACGGCCAGACCTGGGCTACCTATGCTCTCGAAACGGCTGCTGCTGCGAACGCCAAGGATGCCGACAAGGCCAAGGCTTACTACCGCCGCGCGGTGGCCTACAGCGGTCTGAAGGAGGAGGACGAGGCTCTCAAGGATCTCCAGGAGGCCTCTCAGCTGGCTCCTGGTGATGCTGGCATTACCAACGAGATTGCCCGGGTCAAGAAGGCCGTCAAGGACCGCCAGGCTCGCGAGAGGGCTACCGCTCAGAAGTTCTTCTCGTGAAGAGACCAACGTCATGATTCATGATTGCATGATTTAATTTTCCCATTTCTTAAATTCCCGGCCTTGGGTGAAAAGTGAGAACTGAGTCTAATCTCTCTTACAACCATTGCATTGGATTGGTGCACAATAGGAATTTTTCAAAGACCTTTACTTATCCTCAGCGGTTATGCAACGACGTACGGGCTTTGCGCTTCGATTCGAGGTGGCTTCTAGCGTCCACTAGGCTATGCGGTTCAGCAGACCAGAGCACTCTGTACAATAGAAAAGGAATCGAGTCACGTAGGTATGGTAGCGTTATGCGCTGCGAAACCAGGTCGATGAACGTATCGTTGAATCTATCTGGACATTTGTAGGCTTCTTCCGGTCTGTGGTTATGACACATGACCCGGTCATCTGTACTATATGGGGTCTAAAAGCAATTAAGTAAATCCTCGCCTGCCAGAAGTTGGACCAATCGCATCTTTGCAGGTGATACCCCCAGAGCCTACGAAGACCGTGTCGGGAAAAAGCATAGATTATACTCCAAATACTTCTACAAGTGGTACGAAGTAGATGCTCTACATAGCAGAATTTAACCGGTTACATAGCACACCCGTCTATGCCTCGCATCTATTGATTGGTATCACATGGTATATACAATTTGACTTGAAGGAGGTAGGTCCGTCCGTAGTCATAGCCACAATTATCTTGTTCCAACCCCAGGAAAATCAACATATATTCATCCATTCATTCATTGATCGCTGTATTTCACTCCATCAACTCCGCCGGCAACTTGAACTCGAACGTCTGCGGCTTCCCATCGTCTTTACCCGGCGGTTGTTCCTTTTTCTCCTTCTTCGGTAATTGCGTATTGATCTCGATCGTAACCTGAGAACAAACACAGAACGGTTAGCATATATCAAAAACTTGGTAGGATGTGGCAGGAAGAGGAGAAGGCAAGAGCTTTACCACCGCATCTTCACTGCGGTAATCTACACCCACCGGCCCGTCGTTCTTCAATTCGACCTCCATCATCGCCTGGAAGACCCCGTTCTTCACCCGTTCGGGTTTGTACGAGTCGCTCAACCGCTGAATGAAATAATCATACAGTTTGCGCGCGGTCTCCGCATCGGCGGCTTCATGGAAGTCAGGCTGCTTGCCCTTTTTCAAATGGCCGTAGAGTGTAAATTGGGATACTGGATAGTTCGTTAATGTTAGTGGGTGGGTTGTTGGTTTAGAGGGTTTGGTGGGGTTGTGCATACCGCAGAGGATCTCTCCATTTATGTCCTGCACGTTCTTCTTCCACTGGTGGTTGAGTGACGTGGTTAGATATAGTTGATTGTGATTGCGGGGAAGGGTTTTGGTTGTATGTTTCATGGTATGCGTACCGATTTATCGTTCTCGTCGGGCCACAGCTTGGCCTTTAATACCCGCCCGATCATTGAGTCGGCATCCTTCTCAGTATCTTCCTTTCCCACGCCGGCGAGGACAAGGATGCCTTGTCCGATCGAGGAGATTAGGTGGCCATCCACGGTGACCGAGGCGGACTTGACTCGTTGTAGGACGGCTGAGGCGACGCATATTAGTTAATGGCTATTGGGTCCGGGGGAAATTGCATTGCGCGCACCTTTCATGGTGATATATGGTGAGACGAATGAAGGTCAGATGGGTAAGGCAGCGTTCGCTGAAGAAGCAGGACTTTGAAGACCGTCGAAAATGTTGTTGCGCTTTCTATGAAATGGGAAAGTCAGTCACTTGATGATCAGCGGACGGACCAAATGCGGCGGGATACTGAAAACGGGAAGCACACAGACCTAATAATCTCAGGACATTAGCGGAACCGGAGGCAGATGTAAATCATCCTGTAAGGGCTAGATCATTAGCATAATCAATCAGATCCACAGTAACATGAGCAACTGTGCGAAATGGCTGGATCTCGATCCTGGTTTCGCCTCCGGCGTAGGTAGAGACGGGCATGAATGTGAGTGCTTGTGAGCGCTTGTGACCGCCTACCCTTTTAGGCCTCTATCCCAGCTTCTGGACGACCAGACAAAGTATCAGGAGATTCACTCGTCTGAAGAGCTTCGCAAATACAGACACGCTCGCGCGCGTTTGGTGTTGAGAGTTGCATCGCGACGCGTTCTCATAGTGTTCTTCTTTTCTTTACATACGCACTCATCTCCCTCTGTTTCATTCCTCCTACCCCCTCCCGCATCCTCCTGCTACCATTATCCTGACCAGCCTTCGAGATTTACCGACCTGTGCATGGTAAATCGCAGCAATGACGTCCCGGAAGACGCAGCAGGAGATTGACAAGACCTTCAAGAAGGTCGCTGAAGGCATTCAAACATTCGAGGGTATCTATGAGAAGATCCGGTCAACATCAAATATCACGCAACGGGATAAGCTCGAGGAGAACCTGAAACGGGAGATCAAGAAGTTACAACGATATCGTGACCAAATCAAGTCATGGGCATCAGGAAACGAGGTCAAGGATAAGGGGCCGCTGCTAGAGCAGCGCAGGGCCATTGAGACTGTGGGCTTATCCGATCCCTGTTGAAGCGCTTACTCAATGAGGGGCTGCTGCTAACTTGTGTTGTCTGATAGTGCATGGAACAGTTCAAGGCAGTAGAGAAGGAGATGAAGACAAAGGCATATTCGAAAGAAGGGTTGTCGGCTGCATCGAGATTAGATCCTAAAGAGAAGGAGAAGGTCGAGACTTGCGACTTCCTATCGAATATGGTGGACGAGCTGCAACAGAAGATCGAGGCCTTCGAAGCGGAAGAGGAAACGCTCCACATGCAAATGAAGAAGGGCAAGAAGGACGTGGCCAAGACGAATCGCCTATCAGACCTTTCACGCTTAACAGAACGCCATAAGTGGCATGTCAATAAGTTGGAACTGTTGCTACGGTCGCTGCAGAACGGCAACCTCGAAGTTGCTCAGGTGCTGGATATCAAGGAAAGCATTAAGTACTATGTGGAGGATGGGCACAACATTGACTACTCTGGTGAGGATGAAACCTTGTACGACGACCTGAACCTGGACAACGAGGCAGAGGTGCAGTTCGGCATGACAGGGGACAACGATAAAGTATCCTCGCAAGACACCCAGTCGATTCAAGACGAGGAGCCGGAAATCAAGCCCAAGGTCAACAAGGGTGAGAGCGCAGGACTACGAAGGCCATCTGCACAGATGAAGTCCCCTCTACCTGTGTTAGCAACACTTCATCCGTCGACCTCCACGACTGCCGCCTCAGGCATGAAACCCGCACCACCGCCTACCCGCCTCCCCGGAGAAACACTCAAGTACGCGTCCGCTGCCGCTGCAGCTGCTGCAAGTGACAAGAACGGGGTGGGCATTGCACCACTTCCGCCACCTCCAGGCGCAAGCCCCGCTTTCCCGCACGCTGTGCCTGCAAACAAAGCTTCAGCCACTGCCTCGCCGAGCGTTGCATCGGTACAACCTACTACATCCAAGGCCGCGCCGGTTCTCACGATAGCGGCGGAGGACATCACCGGTGCACGATCAAAAACACCTTCTGTCAGCCCCAACGTGGCTGCTGCGAGCACATCGTCACATACAATGGATAAAGTTGAGGCCCCAGCAGCTGCCAAGGAGCAACCTGCGACGAATGGTGAGGCGACGAGTAAGCAAGAGGAGCAGGAGCAGGAGCAGGAGAGCGAGGAATCGATCTTCCACCTGCCTCCCGGCCTGCAGGATCTTATTCAGTCGTTCGAGGTCACGAGGTCCCGGGCGTCAGCAAGCGCAGCCAACGCCTCCCCGTCAGTGCAGCGCATGCTTGCAACATTTCTCGCGAACTGCCCGGAGCCTGCCGATGCGGAGAAGCCTCGTCATTACAAGCCTCAAAACCCTTACAATACGCCTTTATACTATCCTCAGGAACCGCTCTCCATCTTCGATGATCCGCGCTTGTACGAAACCGGGCGCATCGACACGGATACGCTGTTCTATCTGTTCTACTACCGACAAGGCAGTTACCAACAGTATCTCGCGGCCAAGGCGTTGAAGAACCAGAGCTGGCGCTTCCACAAACAGTATCAAACCTGGTTCCAACGTCACGAGGAGCCGAAGACGATCACGGAGGAGTTTGAGCAGGGCACATATCGCTTCTTCGATTATGAGAGTACATGGTAAGTAATCCACTCGGAAAACCCGAAGACCCGCAGAACCCAGCTAACAATCCTTGCAGGATGAACCGTCGCAAGGCTGACTTCAAGTTCGTCTACAAATACTTGGAAGATGAACTGTAATCGAATTGATACGCAAACAAGAGAGGTCTCTGTACATGGCTGGGTTCGATGAAGATAAGTGGAAAAGTGCCTCGGTCGGTTGGGTTTGGCTTTATTAGCAAGGATGCACGGAAATATGGGAGTTCAGTTTAATCAATGTGTCTATGCAATTGGTATTGTGTTGCCATCTGTTTAACGATCTGTTGTTTCATCCAAGTCTTCGGGGGAGCATGCAGGGACGAGTCTACGAGACACGGGAGTTCTGTGCTGTTCTTACATGGTGGCTTATGGGATGCAGCCATGACTTTAGGTAGTGATGCTTGTTGTTACCGTACATTGACCATTTGAGATGGAATCTTCAAGTTCATAGTACTTGACCAAACCTGATTTGATTTGTGTCTGTTGATCGGTAAAGTCGGCAAGGGAATCCCTGTCAAAAGTGAGCGGTGCGTGCTTGCAGAACGCCCAGAGAGATAGACTAACTAGTACTCCCTCCCGTACTCAGGGATACCTAGACAAAGAAGATAGGAACAAGCACTAAGTTCTTAGAGGGGTGGGATGATAATCTGTGGCTGGAAGGTGATGAACACATCCAACCAATAGTGAAGCCAAGGAAAAAGGAAAACACTAAATAGATCGGTACTGTGTAGTACAAAAGTACGAACTTAATAACTCATTCCCCTTTTGAAGTCTGAGCAGGAAAGGGCAAAACCTCGGCAGTGATCAATCAATCACCTCTCCGATAGCTTTTCCCCGTGACGCACTTTGACAGACTTAGTACGGAATAATGTCCTCCGTCCGAGGCTCTGTGGAATGCCCGACAACTGGATGAATTGTCGCGATCCACATGGCACAAAGTAGTAGGAAAAATAGGGGTGTTGGCATCTTCACCAAGTGGTGAGAGTGTGGGTTATGCATGTCTTACCGCCTGCTGTAAGTGGAAGGTTATGGTAGTGCTATCCTTGGCGACCCAGCCTCCGGGACAATGACTTTTGCCGGTCTCAGAATTGCTTCAGTTTACATTTCAGTGCTCTGTCGTGGTTTCACTATGTTCTCAGTAAACCTGATTTAAGTAGAATGATTCAAGTGCACGGTGAACAATAGTGGAGTATCTAATTATGCTGTGGTAGTCGTTGAAGCCAGACCTCAGGCAGCATTCGTCGCATTCGTAGCAGGCGGTGAACAGAGACCCAAGCTAAGCCACTTTCGGGTGTTGTGATTGTCAGTCAGTTGTACAAGAATAGATTGTCCCATCGCGATGGTGAAGCAAATGAGAGATTATCAGGAGAATATCGCGCATTCGCCTCACTTGTTAAACCTTCTGACATATTAATCACTCACGGGAAGGATTGAAGCAATTCATTAGCACCGATGTGAGGCATTTTACACTTGCATTGATGAGCTTCATCCTGCCCGCTATCTATGGTACTAACTTAGCCGGGGGCATGGTCATCATCAACCTTCACCCCGGTCGCAAGGGGGGGCTGTGCGATAATATTATCCCCCATCCCCAAGGTTGTCGTCGTCATAGGGAGCCAGAAGTGTACCAGTCCCTGCTGTTTTCCCCAGACAGACGCCGCTTGGCACCAACCACAAGGCTGTGAATCGCGCACTTGGCGGGTAGAAACTGTGTGGGAAGCGTTGACGAAACGCCCGGAAAGCCCGTGCCGATTTGCTCCATCTCCTCGGTCGGTCGGGAGAAATGGCGAAATTCCCGTCCAGCAGGAACAGGCTGCACAGTGCACCACCACCAGGGTCAAGCCATCCACTCAGGTTGATGGGAATTTCAGCAAGGAGTGACACTTCCGTCAGATCTGCCTTTCTTCTCCCCCAGAGCCCCAAGTTCTTCAAGGTTCTCGTGACAAGACTCGTGGTTCGTCCGTACTTTTTGTTTTGTGGAGGAGCCGCTCTCTCCGCGACCGTGGTTTGCGAGCGATCAATCATAATGATCAATTGCAGGAGAAGAATAGGATCAGATCTTCTTACGTTTACTACATTAATTATCGGAGCCTTCCGATGAACGGTCCGCGTGCCTTTCATTCAACGAATGGCCATGTCGGACCATAACAAGGCGAATAGACGGACGTGTTTCCGACTAGGAGACTGGCGTCTTGGGACGGGGAGAACAAAAAAAAAAAAAAAAAGCACATCCACATCGGTCATGGTCATCATCATCATCATCATCGTCAGTCCGTCCCAGAAAATCTTTCTAGGCCAAAAAAGCCAGCAGTTCCAGCACGGCCGACGGGCTCCACCGACTCTTTGTCGTTGTGGGGGATCGCACCCTATGACGATATTGCGGTCTCGCTGTCGTGTCACCGCAGACCCTCGTTCCGGTCCTTTTCCTTCTTCAGCAGGCCACACAGGCAGTCCGTCTTCCTTGTCTGGCTCGTCTGGCTCCTCTCTCGGCCCGGAGTGGACACCATCGCTGGTTATTTTCCGTCCCAAGACTCGGTCTCTTCCAATCAGAGCCATGGAAGGCCTCTGGAAGCCTGGAAGAAGTTTCGAATGCTTCTTCGGCGTTTCTAGCGTCAGCACTAGCCAGGATTGCTTCACTTTCGTGGCTCATCTTAGCCAATGAACGCCCAGAGCCGGGGGGGCTGTGTGTTGGCTGCGATTCCTCCTGCATTCCCGGCCTCCCCCATCCAATCTGCGCGGACTCCTAGTGGAAGATCATAGGAGCGGGCTCACCTGATGATGTCGCCGTGGGTGCGTTCGTGTTGCTTAGCACCGTCTGGCTTTGGCGGTTTTGGGCTCCATGGTGGAGACCACCGTCCTGGCCTAATGCAAGTGCGACGTATTCCGTAGGTCGACCTGGATCAAAGAATTGAAGAAAAATGTGGTTATAAAAACCCGGGGCCCAGTCACGATGGCCAGGCAAGTCTTCCTTTTTTCTTCCAGAACAATTCGGCCATTGAGCTGCTGGTCCTGTCCCTCCTTCCAATTGATTTTCCCCCTCATCCCACACTACATCATGTTTGCCTCCACTGCAATGGTATGTTTTCCCCGATCATCAGGGTCTCGATCCGTCTCCACTCTTCCCTCCTCTCCTCACCTCTCTCGTTCGCTCCCTCGCGCGTCAACTCCCAACTGACCTTTCCGCCGCAGCACCACAGCATTCCATCATGCCCTCCTCTAGAACAAAGATCCTATTCGGAAAGCAGTGATGACTCCATGCAATCGGCTTTCGGATATTTCGATAACACCATGTACACCATGGCGGCGACCGATCTGCCCATGACCCAACCCTCTTTCGAACCATCCTCCTACGAATCCACCTCCTTCACCTCATCCGTCAATTCCTCCCCTTTCAACGCCTACTACAACTTCACTCCTTCTCTTATGTACTCGCCGGAAGCATACACTTTTCTTCAAACACAAACACCTCCAGTGCCTGTATCGGGCGGGGAATGGATTGCGCCGCAATCCACCACTCCCAGCACCGAGGTCGTATACTCTCCGGAAGAGACTTGCGACGCATTAGACAACTCTAGGTATGGCTTCCGCCCTAACAGAAAAATTTCCGACCGTAATCTAATCGACCTGTCTAGACCCGTCAAACCCTTCTCGTGCCGCGACTGCGGCAAGGCGTTCACACGTCCCGCCGACCTGAAACGGCATCACACCAGTGTCCACAACCCCGTGTTTCAGGACTGCCCGGTACAAGAATGCCTACGCAAGGATGGCAATGGGTTTCCGCGTCGCGACCATCTGATTGAACACCTACGCTCGTTTCACCACTGGGACGTTCCTAAGCGTCGGACGACCAAGCGATCGCGAACTGATTAGTGTCATGATGCTTTTACCTTGCCTTATACCCTTTGCGTCATGATGCTGTTGAATATACCCTTCTGTTTGTTGCCGGGTGTTCACCCATGGCACTTTACGTCCGTCTATGTCCGCTATGCTTCTCATGTCTATGCTTATGCTTATGCTTCTTCATGTTGTCGATGACCCACGGACGGTATGGCGTTCCGGACTTCATTATTATTCATTTTCCTTTTGGCATATACCATTTTCATTTGGTTCCTTATACACATAGACATTGTGTACCAGTCACAAGTTTATTAATACATTACCTTCAAGATGTCACAACATGCAACATCTGTCTACTCGGGAGAAACACGCTAGTATCCGCAACGGCAATGTCAAGGAAGCCAGTGTAATTCTCGCCACGCCCGTGCCGCAGGTAATCACATCGGGTGGTGGAACAGTGAGACGTAGCTAACTCAAACATATCGGCATATAACTGTCCTTGTCCCGCAGTAGAATCCCCACCTCAGCCTGCGGCACACTGACACTCCCCTAGCAATTATGGATGAAACGCATATCCCGTCTTTCAAACCACCAAAATGGTGAACCGACAAAGTAATCCTGCAACTGTGCTAACTGACACTGGAGTTATTTTTATTATGGTTATTGGTGTGACACCAGAGGCAACGTTTGTGCACCATCGCGGTAAGTCTGGACTGGCCTAACAGCAATGCATCGCATCAGATTCCATCCCGCTGCCATCCCGGTGAGCGTTGCAATTCCATCATATCCAAACGCATAAAGAATCATGAATGAGACGAATCATAGAATGGCTGGCTTTCTCCAAACCATGGAAGCATGCAGTGCCACACCAGTCAGGAATGGAGGCAGTCATGTGCACGGAACCACCCGATTCGTCAATTCGAGTACAACGTTGCGGAGTCAAGTTCCAGACCAACTCTCGCTCTGCGATTCTGCATATAAAGAACGTTTGACAGTAGCATCAAACGCTTGTGCCACCTTGTACTTTGCATCCATCTAGTACTACTACCCCCCAGACCTCAAACCACTTTGTCCTTGTTTGAGTGATCAGTTACCGTAAATATAAAAATAGCTACCCACAATACAAAGAATATTAAACTAACCCAACAAAAACAGTAATTTGTACCCCTTCATCACCGAACTTTGTTCCCTATCAAGTGAACTTTCGGACACAAAACAAAGAAGAACGGGTACCTAGTCCGGTTATCTCATCTCATCTCATCTCATCATCTCGCCATCACCCAACATCTGCATCCGATAAGGATCACAAACAAACGGGAGAGGACAAGAAAAGTCATCACATCCCACACCAACACAACATATTTTGTGCTCCGTACCTTATCCATCCTTCAACGGTCGAACATCAAACAAACAAAGAAACCAACATCCTTGCCCCTGTCCACTATCTAAATATAACATCCTCACACAAACAACGGCAGTTATCACCATTCATTCATACAGTCCGCCGAATACTACATACCAACAGCGAACTGAACCTGTAACCATGGCTTTAACCCAAGTGCAACAACACCAACCACAAGAACAACAGCAGAAACCTACTCCACAACCAATAGCAACGGCAACAACAACGGCAGACACCAAAACAAAAATGATCAAGAAAATAACCACACACCCCACCCTCCCCTCACACCGCCGTGAAATCTACCTTGCCTTGCTATCCGTCCCCGCAGGCCGCTGGACCACCTACGCTGCGCTTGCCAAGCACATTGGTACCAGTCCACGAGCAGTCGGCGCTGCGATGCGTCTGAACCCGTTTGCACCGGAGGTACCTTGTCATCGGGTGCTAGGTGGTAACGGGAAGCTGTTGGTAGGGTACTCGGGTGCTGAGGCATCGGGAGGGGGAAAGAAGAAAGCGAAAGATGGTGTGGGGATGAAGAAAAGGATGTTGGAGGAGGAAGGCGTTGAGTTTACTACGGAAGGGATGGCGAGGGGTTTGTGTTTTGAGGGGTTTGGGCTGGGTTAGTTGGCTGTAAGGAGATATGAGGTATGGTTTTTCTGCTGAATGATATGGAGGTCTGTACATTAAGGGATAATGATTAGGATAGTAATACTTGTATCTAGTTGTGTTTGGGGCGAACATACCACACTCACCTGTATGGAATGCAATGGCGCAAGACCCCTTGATTACTACAGTTATCATATCATACACAAAAATAGAACCGAATTTCCACCACTGCTGTTGCAATCAAAATGGGATGCATTTGACAACTTGCTAAAATTCTCATTGTATGAGAGGAAACTAACGCAGGAGACCCAGTGATCAGGTATCTAATGTAATGAATATGGAAAGGAGTACTTTCACACAGTAGTCATTAAATAAATAGAATATACTAACTAGTGTTTCTTCTAGTTAGCACAAATTTGTCAGAAATACAGTAAGGCTACTATCAATTTCCATTGGATCCTGAACCACTCACTCTTCAGTGCCACAGCAAAGGATTGTTAGCATAGCCAGAGAATTAACTCACTTACAATCCGGTCAATTCCAGAATAGAATAATAAGCAAGTTTATGTTCCCTTTGCCTAGCACTGCTAATCGATGTTCCTTTTACGTTAATACAATTGCTTGCCACCGGCAAACCGATAGCCCTATTTGATTTACACTGTCTTGGTAACTACGTATATCTTAGCCGTAATAGTTGATTATAGTACGCTGCAAATACAGCTTCACACAGCGAACGATGTATCATGACAGAAATAAGCATTTGCATAAGCAAATATGGCAACCCCGCTCGACCCCTTCTCAGCCTTGTCGGCCACCGTCCCTTATCAATCCTAGCTGCCACATTTCTGCCCGACATTCTGGACCAACTTTGAAGCCTATACCTTCCGCATACATCTATTCCTCAAATACCACGACGCACCTACCACAAGAGTTGCTATCAGCCAGCAATTTTATGTAGAATGACCACCTCCCTCTGGGCGAGAGCCCTCTCTGCTCTCCCAGACAAAGATCAGCGCATGTTCCGCACGTCAGGCACTGCATCGGCACCGGTCTCAAAGACATTAGCTGATATTATCACTGCAATCGAAACACAGCGCGATCGTTGTAAGCGCCACAAGTGGTCGACCATCAGCATCGGTGGCAAGGAGCTCATCATCCGTGATGTGTGCGCGAAAATTGTAGCCTGCGTGAACAAGTTTGCCAGCGTGGTTGATGTCGTCGTTTCCTATGACCCAGTTCATGCGGCACTTCCTTGGGCGGGAGTGCGCTTTGTGCTTCAGCTGTTTCTGAACGGAATCGATACTTTCGGTGCTATTGTGGAGGGGCTGGAGACGTCCGTGAGAGTGATTGCACGGGGTGGAATACTCGAAGGGTTATATTATCAGAAGAACTCTGCACTGAGTGAAGCGAGGCAGGCCTTGCAAGATGAAATCGTCAAGTGCTATACAGCGGTCTTGAAATTTCTGTCTCTGGCGAGGAAGTACTATCAGTGCTCACGAATGAGTATGTTCCGAGACTTGGTTTTGTTGTGTTTCGAGGGCTGATTTTCGGTAACTAGAACGTGCGGTCAATTTTATATCTAAAGACGATCTTAGACACTGCACAAAGGAGATACAGATTGCCGAGCAACAGTTCCTGATTCAGAAGGGGCTCGCCGACAGCGAAGGTGAGTCTATAACTCCAGAGTTGAGATTCGTCTCCACTTAACTTCATTTCAGACCTAGGTAATATCGAGACAAATGTTTTACACACCATCCTTATAGCCACATCAACGGCGGACCAGGTCAATGATATGAAAACAAAACTAGAAAAGGCCCTCCTGGACCTGGATAAGCCATTAATACGAGTGGTGGATCAAGTTTCCGACCTTCATAGATCTTTGAAAGGTATTAGCCGGCTGCATGACATAGGCTTTCTCGCATACTTACACAGGTTTAGACAACGAGAGAGCCCAGATCCTGCGTTGGATATCACCTGTCCCAGCTCAGGAACATTATCGTGAGGCATCAGCATCACTGATGCCAGGCTCTGGAGAATGGCTTTTCCGTCACCCTGAATTTCAGGCTTGGAGAGATTCTAGTAGCTCTGAGGTGCTATGGTTGCACGGGATACGTGATTGAACGACGATATCCCAAGTTTTCATGATTGAACTGACAGGGAGAAGCTGGCTGCGGAAAATCCAAGATCGCGTGAGTGCTTAGTCCGGGATTGAAGACGTCATTTCTTGACTAATACAAATAAGTGCTGCTGTTATACGGCAATTACGCCTTCAGGCTAGCAAAGTACAGCATTCTTTGCCGATAGTACATTTTTTTTGCTCGACAAACCCGGCTGAACCAGAGCGTAGCGATGCTCGGGAGATACTCCGGTCACTCATGAAGCAACTTTCTCTATCCGTCAGCAAGGACCTGATGAGGACCCCAGTCGTCGAGGAGTATCGGAAACTTCTACAAGAAGCAACATATTATGGTGAAGGGCCAGCTGCTTTGTCTGTAGAAAGGTGTACTGAGCTTTTGTGTGAGCTTGGCCAGTCAGCCCCAATCATGCTAATTATCGATGCTCTTGATGAATGTGATTCACAGCAGCGCACCATACTGCAGCAATCTCTCGAAGAAATGCGTCAAAGTTGTCGCGATCTGGTTAAAATTTTCGTCTCTAGTCGATACGAAGAGGATATCGCTACTGGTTTCAGACACAAACGGACTCTTTGTATGACACCGCGCGACACTGAAGATGATCTTAAACACTTCATTGATCTCCATGTGAGTAGATTTATGTCAAGGTGGGCCGTTTTACACAGCGAGGCAAGCGATAAACTACAACAGCTGGAGAAGAGCCTGAAAGAGACACTTAATACTGGAGCACAAGGAATGTGGGTGGCACCAAGATCGTCTGAAGAATAGCTCTCTAACTTAAGATTACAGGTTTCTATGGGTGTCGCTGCAATTAGAGTGTATTAGTGATACCTCACGAGTTAAAGACCTGGAGAGTATTTATGTAGCTCTGGAATCTCTACCTGCGACGCTTGGTCGATCCTATGCCGCCATTCATTGCCGAATCGAGTCAATGAAGGAAACTGCCAGAGAAGTGGCTAGATTTACGTTTTACTGGCTTCTGGGTGCAAAACGAATGCTCCCTATCCCAGATTTCCTCATCGCCGTAGCGCGTTCGGCAAAGTGCTTGTCAAATCTGCAACCCCGAACCATTATTGACTACTGCTGCGGTTTGGCGGTGATAGATAACGAAACCAATACATTCAGACTAGCTCATCCGACAGTTCGAGAGTAGTTATCATTATATCAGCCTGAAGCCAAGTCATAAGCAGCTGACGCATCTACAGATATCTTGAATCCCTTGAAATCTACCGCGGTAAAGAAGTATCCTACAGCATAGCTCTGGCGTGTCTGGACGCATATCTGGGTGAAAATTGTGTTGAGAATGAGTTTCTCAAATATGCTACAAACTATTGGCCGTCCCACGTGGAGGACCTTGGGTTTGCACCCCAGCGAGCCAAGGTTGTTCCTTCTCTCACGGACTTCTTTACGAAAGAAGAGCATTTTGATGATTGGCTGGACAATTTCGAGCTACAGCAGAGAGAAGGCGGTTCTAGCTGGAAATCTACAAATGAAAGAAAGCTCGATGCCTCGATAAGCACTCCACGAACACCGCTATTTTTGATATGCTGTTTTGGATTCGTGGAAATTCTTGAGGATGACGACGTTGTTGAAGACTTGGATGTGAACCAGACAAACAAAGATGGGAGCTCTGGGCTATACCTGGCAGCTCGTGGTGGCCACATCATGGTCGTTCAGAAGCTCCTAGACATGGGAGCCAATATAGACGCCCCCGGATTTCAGTACGGGGATGCACTTCAAGCGGCGTGTCTTGGGGGGTGGACAGAGATAGTGCAGCTTCTGATCAATCATGGCGCCACCTCCTCTGTGCCCAGAAGGGGTGAATATTCCAGTCCCCTGCAGGCAGCTTTGGCAGGTGATAACAATCCAATTGCAGAAGTCCTGCTTAATGCTGGGGTCAAGCTTACTACACAGCAGCAATTTGATGATGCCATAGAAACCGCAGCTTTCAAAGGAAATGTTTCAGTTTTCCAGCGGCTTATGGCAGGGGAAGTTGGAGACTTTACTCCAAAAATCAGGCCTGATCCTCTTCAAGTAGCCCTCGCAGGGGGCAAAATGAGGAGAGCAAAGCTGCTATTACAAAGCTGTGCCGATATTAACGAGGAAAAGGGTCTCTTTGGAAATGCCCTCGCGGCTGCTATTGCAAGTGAGAGACTGTCAATAGTACAGTTAGTTCTTGATGCTGGAGCTAATATTGAGCTCCGAGGACGATATGGGTTTCCCCTTCGCGCAGCTGTCATTATCAACAACTTCGAGATCACAAAATGTCTGCTTGAGAAGGGTGCAGATCCAAACGTAATAGATGAGGAGCTGGGAGATGCCCTTCAGGCTGCTGCAAGCCGCGGCAGTCTAGCGATAATGTCGCTCCTTCTTGCTTACAAAGCTAATGTTCGGGGACGTGGAGGCCATTTCGGTGATACACTGCAAGCTGCTGCTTTTGGAGGACATGAAAAGGCTGTGGAGCTACTTATTCATCACGGAGCTAAAGATTCTTTGGAAAAGCCTCGAGGGAGATACCATAGTGCTCTGAGAGCTGCGGTGTACGCTGGGCATCAGAGCATTGTGCAAAGGCTTCTTGAGGCAGGTGCAAGATTGCCTTCGCAAAGTCGAGGATTGTCATTTGCCTATGTGGACTATTCGCCATCCCTGACTGTACTATGGCAACCCAGGGATGCGCTTCCAAACGTTAAGGAGGAAGTGAAAGGACTGGATACTCTGCACTATCTGGGGCCCCTCGAAATTACTGCTCAGCGGAATGATGTGGCCTTGTTGGAGACGCTACTATTGGAGGGTCCACATTATGATAATTCTAGTGCTTATTCAGGGTCTCTGGGGAGTAATTTGTGTGATTCGGAGAATCCTTATACAGCCCTACAGATAGCAGCATTTTGGGGGCATACTCCTACAGTCAGGTGTCTCCTAGCCCATGGGGTTGATATCAACATGGTGAAGCCCAAGATAGGTACCGCATTGCACGCAGCCTTGGAAGGTTAGCAGTATTTCGTTGCAGAAATACTACTCTCTAATGGTGCCGATATTGATAGACATTGGACGGATTTTGGCTCGTGTCTTCAAGTCTTTTCTAAGCGGGGTAAACTTGAAGTTGTGCAGTTTTTACTTGATCGAGGAGCCAACATAAATGATGTAGGGGGCTTTAACGGTACAGCTCTTCAGGTTGCTTGCGGTGCAGGCCATGTTGAAGTTGTCCAGCTACTGCTGCAGAAAGGAGCGGACATGAATGCACAAGGGAAGGCCATTGGTACGGCGCTGCATGCGGCTTCGGCTAACGGGCACCTTGGAATAGTGAAGATGCTTCTCCATCATGATGCGAAAGCAGATATTGATAGTGCTGGATCAAATGTTGATACAAATACTCATATTGCATTACAGGTCGCATGTGCGAATGGACGTCGTGAAGTAGTCGAGGCTTTACTCGATCGTGGCGCAGGAGTGCGCAATACCCTACTTTGTCGAGCCAGTGAGAATGGGGATACTAGTCTTATGCAACTCATGCTGGACAACGGGTCTCTTGTCAATCCAGAAACTGGGCTCCCTGATTCAAAGCAGCTTGAAGGAAGATCACCTACTGATGACAGCAGTCTGACTGCAACCCCGCTTCATTTCGCTGCCTATCGTGGACACGAATCAGCAGTGACTTTTCTCCTGGACAATGGAGCTGACCTTCATGTTCAAGGCATTCTATACCCAATGCAGGAACAAGGCCATCATAACAGTGACTTCGATTTTGAGACAAACACCAGCAGTCCTATGCAAGCCGCGTGTTACAAAGGAAATTCACATATAGCCAAGCTTCTCTTTACTCATGATCCTTGGGGTCACATCAAACACCAGACCTTTACGGTTGCCTTGAAAACCAGTCTTGATCGTGGACAGCATGAAGTCCAGAGGATTTTACTCCTCCAAGCAGTTCGTTCAGGGTTCAGGGCTGAGCAGTTTCACGAAGCTTTTTGCCATGCATGCTTGAAAGGATATACACAATTTGTTGAGCTGATCCTTGAACACTTCACGGTCGACAACTGGCCGGATGCTATACTCCAGGCCGCTGAAGATGGGAGGGCTGGGATTGTTAAAGCTTTGTTGTTACACGGGGCTGATCCGAAGATGCGCAACGAAAGCGGTGACACGGCGATTAGCCTTGCTATTCGTAAAATGAGTCCTTATTGTTGCGGATTCTATGATGGGGATCCGCCTCGCTATCGCAAGACATTGGCTGCTCTGGTCGAGGCTGGGCACGTTTTGGACAAATCGCTATCTGCAGACATACCTCGCAAGATCCTGCACATTATAACCGCTTACATATACATTGTGAACACGAAATACGTGAGACTGGACAGTCTGAATCTGTGGAATACGCAGACGTCATTTCAATGCTTGTACAGAACGATGCGCAAGCAGCTCATCTGATCAGGAAGCCATTTGAGGCAGCAATCCATCTTGAGGTTGTCGAGTCCGTTCGTGTCTTAATTGACCTGTTTGCCAAGAATGATATGCATCGCACGGAAATATGCACAAGCATCCTTTCTCAGTTTCTACCCCTCTCTATGGAAATGCTCTCGTTTTTGCTCAGCCAAGGTGGCGATGTGAACACACGACATTTTAAAGATGGCAAGACGCTGCTGCACCGTGCCGCCGCCAGAGGAGATGAGGATGCACTCAGGATTCTTATATCTTATGGCGCCCAGGTTTCTCTGCAGTCAAGCGAACAAGGAACAGCCCTGCACGCAGCTGCGGCGGGTGGCTTCCACGGCTCAGTCAATTTGCTTCTGACAGAAAATGCGGAGGTTGATGCATCATGTACACTTACTGGGACCCCGTTGGCGGCAGTCATGGCTCGTAAATGGAAGTCCTGCTGTGGTCGTTACCATCGAAGCTGTGCTGAGCAATTAATTGCTTGGGGTGCAGATATTGATCGCATTGATGAACGTCTGGGGACTCCAATGGACATTGCTTACAAGGCAGGAAACAATGAGGGTGTGGAGCTGTTACTTGAGAACGGAGCACTGGATCCCCAATCCACAGCGTATCCACTAAATTCGGACAATTGACCGGGCACGAAGTGCTTTTCTGTTTGAGATATGTATGGAGTACTGAAGAAAATAATCAGAGACTTGCCGTACTTGAAAACTTGGAGAAATGATCAGATCGGTAAATGTCCAATTTGCCCTGGGTGTCTGGGCTCGCAAGACCCCTTTAAACAATATAGACATTCACGCACTACTCGCAGCAAATTTTAACAATTAGGGCTTGACTAAGCTTTGGCAGATAACTGATTTATCATATAACCTTCAAATGTCGATTAGTATATCAAAGTTATTATGTCAATATAGCCTGTCCGATAGAACAATAATACCCATTCATAGCGGCTCCGTCATATATAAAATTGTGCACTACATTTACTTGAGATATACAATGCGCAGACTCCCATGTTAGTATCTGCAGTGTCACTTCTTTTTCGCTAAAAAAGGACCTCCCATAACGTAGCTACTCTGCAATTTAAATCACTAGACTTGTATCACAAATCATGTAATAAAGCAATACGGAGTATAAGGTGCCCACTGCATGCCCTCTTAGTAAGCACACACAGCATGATGTCATGTGCTTTCGCGTCCCGCCCGCTCCCAATCGGGAAATATCACGCGTCTGCCTACTCAGAGTGCATCTTTCTGCCTTGAGCTCGTCCCTTTTATGTCGAGCCAGCTGCGGCATCGAATGGATCTGATTCCATCGATAATCTCAGTCGTTCATACTGAAAATGGCCGATAAAGAGGCAACTGTCTACATCGTGGACTGCGGCAAGTCCATGGGGGAGCGGCGTCATGGTCGCGAAGTGACGGATCTCGACTGGGCGATGCAATATGTTTGGGATCGTATTACAGGGACGGTGAGATCCTTATTCTTGAGAATCGTATCATACATGAAAGCTTATGTTTTGGATAGGTGGCCACTGGACGAAAAATGGCTTTGATCGGTATTCTTGGGCTCAGGACAGATGGTGAGTGACTAGCCTCCCGGGTACAGTTGGTAGTTGTAGTTTGCTGGTCGGGGCTAATGCAGGAACGTCCAGAAACCGCTAATGAGTTGGAGGATGATCCTGATTATTCGCATATCTCGGTTTTGTCTGGGATTAAACAGTATGATTCATTTTTGTCTGCTGATCCTCTGGTTATTCGCTGATGAAGTATAGGTTCCTTATGCCGGATATCCGGGGTTTGAGCGACCGGATAAAGCCTAGCAAGACTAATAAGGGAGATGGTGAGTTAATATTCTTGTATGGAACTGGAGTGATTGGGGCTGAGCCGATGAATATAGCTATCTCTGCACTTGTGCTCGCGATTCAGATGATTATCACTCAGTGCAAGAAACTGAAGTACAAGCGCAGGATTGTCCTGGTTACTAATGGGCAGGGCCCGATGAACCCGGATAATCTTAGTGAGATAACGAAGAAGATTAAGGAGGATAACATTGAACTTATTATTCTGTTAGTGTCGATTGATACACTGAGAGAATCGGGGTACTAACATGCTGCAGGGGACCGGACTTTGATGATCCTGAATATGGGGTGAAAGAGGAAGATAAAGATCCGCGAAAGGTATTTAACTTCGTTCCATATGCTCTAAACTGATAATAACAATGGCTACAGGCCGAAAATGAAACACTCCTGCGTAGTCTTGCCGAAGACTGCGATGGAGCCTATGGAACCCTAGAACAAGCTGTTGCGGAGCTGGAAACGCCTCGTGTGAAAACCACAAGGATAACAGCAAGCTTCAAGGGCCATTTGCAACTAGGAAACCCCGCAGAATATGATACTGCAGTTCGGATCCCTGTGGAGCGCTACTACAGGACATACGTTGCAAAAGCTCCGTCGGCTAGTCAGTTCACAGTACGTAACGAAGAGGAGATGGGAATGGCCGCGGCCGCAGCCGGCTCGCAGGAAGGTAGTTCCCTTGTGGGTGTTCGAAACAACAGGTCCTACCAAATTGACGATGGGACTACTGAAGAAGGGGTGAGGGACGTGGATCGAGAGCAACTTGCCAAGGGTTATGAGTACGGGCGGACATTGGTCCCTATTAGCGAGACGGATGAGAATATCACCACCCTAGAGACATTTGCGGCTATCGAGCTTCTTGGGTTCATACAAAGCGATCGGGTGAGTTCTACCTTCAATAACTGTCATTATGCTGCTAAGTGGGTTTTGCCATTAGTATGATCGATACATGCACATGTCGACAACAAACATCATCATCGCGCAGCGCGCGAATGACAAGGCAGCACTCGCTCTTTCCTCTTTTATACATGCGCTGTTCGAGCTGGAATCGTACGCTGTTGCCCGTATGGTGCTAAAGGAGAACAAACCCCCTGTCATAGTCGTGCTTGCGCCATCAATCGAACCCGACTACGAGTGTCTCCTCGAAGCGCAGCTGCCATTCGCAGAAGACGTACGAACGTACCGCTTCCCTCCACTCGACAGAGTCATCACAGTGTCTGGTAAAGTGGTGACACAGCATCGAAACCTACCCAACGACGATCTGTTGAAAGCGATGGACAAATACGTGAAAAGCATGGAGCTTACCGATATGGACGAGAACGGGTGAGAAGAATTGGAAGTAATCTCAACTTCACTGCTGACGTTGTACAAAGTGACCCGACGGAATCTCTCCCAATAGACGACTCTTTCTCTCCAGTCCTGCACCGGATCGATTCCGCAATCCGTCACCGTGCCATTCATCCCAACGACCCTATCCCGCCCCCAGCCTCAGTCCTAACGAAGTTCTCTCACCCTCCGGATGACCTCGTCGAGAAGTCCAAGAAATACCTAGACAAGCTAGTAGCAGTGTCAGATGTCAAGAAAGGTCAGTACATCTCTTCCTTGAGCCTCTTAGGCCCCCATCATACTCACAGTGATGAATCTAGTCCCACCCAAAACCAAAGGCACCAAACGGACCCGCGAAACCGAGAAGCCACTATCCGGTCTCGACGTCGATGCCCTTCTCCACCAAGAGAAGCGCACGAAGATCTCACCCAACAACGCAATTCCCGAGTTCAAGCAGACGCTCTCGCAGGCAGAGAACATCGAGATCATCAAGGATGCAGTGAAGCAGATGAGCACTATCATTGAAGACCAGATCAGGCATAGTCTTGGCGATGCTAACTACCATCGGGTCACTGAGGGGCTAGGTGTGATGCGGGAGGAACTGATCGATTATGAGGAACCTGCGCTGTATAATGATTTCTTGAAGCAGCTGAAGGAGAAGTTGTTGAAAGAGGAGCTCGGTGGGGATCGACGGGAGCTGTGGTGGCTGCTAAGAAGGAGTAAGTTGGGATTGATTGAACAGAGGGAGTCGGAACACTCTGAGGTGAGAGAAGAAGAAGCGAAGGCGTTTATGTCTATGGCTGCTAAGTGAGCAGACCGTTATTAATCCCTATTAGTCCCCGATTAAGGACTGGGCAACAGTTCGATAATGACAAATGAACAAGCTCCAATGCTGCATGACTGTGCTCGCTAGAGTACAATATTCACGATAACCCTGCGCTAAGTAACAAGGCTTATCCCATGCCAAATGTAACACACATAACATATAATACCAACTTCGATGAACAATATACGGGATATCAATCATGACCATGAGTAAAAATAGACATCGCAAACAACCATCATATCCACACACTCAAGATATTCTCCCAATCCTCTTCTTCCCAATATCAATCTTCCCACCCAACCTATGTTCAAGTCAGCACAACCCTCCCACCAAAAATATAAAAGACAAGATGGGGAAAATTACATACCTCGTAGCATCCTCATCTGCCAAATTCAATAACTCATTCTGCACCTGCAACTCATTGTTAATTGCAATCCCCAACTCCTTCTGCCGATTGACAATCCTCATCAACTCATCCACCGCGACATCCTGATCCTCCATCATCTGCTTCTGCAACTGTACCACCCCACTATTATCCAACTCGCGCGTCCTCTCCGTCTCCCTCCCCAACACTCTCCCTGACGACCGAATCGCCTTCTTGCCCCCCTGCGTCCCCATCAACGCCTCCTTATCCTGAATCGACGCCACCGCACTATCAATCCGACTCTTCGCCGCCATCGCATTCAACAGATCCTCCAGTCCATCTTTCTCCTTCCTCGCATTGATGAGCAGATCCTTCCGTCGTCGCATCTCTCCTTCCCCGAGCGTGTTGTTCCCACTAACACTCCATGCCGTGGCGGTCGTGGCTGTGTTCCTGCGCCCGAGTTTACTTCCTGGTCTTGACCCTGCATTATTTTCCTCTCCACCTCCAGAAGAAGAGTTACTCAAATTCCTCAACCCACTCTCCAAACTCGCAATCAACCCCCCGGCCCTAACAAGCTCGCTCTTCGCCCTCGCCGAACTCTCATGCTGTCGCTGCGGCGTGGTCTCCTGGTCCCGTCTCGTAAGATAAAGTCTCGCATCGTGTAAATGCCCCTTCATATCCCTGAAGCAATCGAGCCAGAGGATCGGGTCCGTGATGCCTCCGCCTTCCGAGTCGCCGGGGTCGGTGATTGCCGCGTGGAGCCGTGTACTTGCCCCGCCATTGTTATTATTATTATTCGAAGGCAAACTAGGAAGATTGAGGAACGCCCGCCACGCGGGACTGTTGCGCCATCGGGGATCTTCGCTTTCGTTGATAGCGCGGAGGTAGGCTTCTAGTGCTTCGCGGCGGGATTCGCGGAGGGTGGCGTTGTTGATGGTATTCTGGAACCAGGATTTGGGCGGGAGAGGGGCGGGTGGTGGGAGGTTTGTTTGCGAAACTAGGGTGTTGTGGAAGGTGGTGAATTCGGAGTAGCGCTTGGAGATGGTGAATGAGCGGAGGGGAAGGCGGAGGGTGATGTTGTAGAGGGTGTAGGGGGGTTGGGTTGCGGAGATGCTAGTTGTGGGGATGCTGATTTCGAGGGATGTGGGAGGCATTGTTTCTAGTTTATTTTCAGGGTGTCGGTGGTGTGAAGCTATTGGGGCATTGTTTGGAGTTGGGTTAAGGAGCGAGTGTAGAAGGTGAGTGAGTGAGTAGAGATGAAGCGGTGGAGGATGAGATGCGCCGATAAGGAATAAAGTAAGTCACCGCCGGATCAACAACAATGACGCAAGGTCCGTCGCCGCTTACTTTCGGGGTTGCCTGGATACAACTCTATGACAATAATATTTAGGCTTCAATTTACTGAAATCAATTTGGGTTCAACTGTCCTATATTACTGGGTATCTTGTTCACTAAACTAGTTGGTCAAATCTCCTCGTCATGCGGTAGCCTCGGGCCCATTCCACAGCTCGCGTGCTCCCAGCAGGTCCCGTTGTCCATAATACTCCCCGATGACCGTGATGATCATGTCCAGCATGGCGCGAGTCTGTGTCGCCGCTTCATTTGCAGGGTCCTCATTGCCAGCCTCGGGCTCCGTGACTGTGGGTTGGTCCTCCCCACCTGCGAGCTTCGCCTGCAGACGTGCTTTGGCTGCCTCCAGCTCCTCCTCAGTAGCAGGCTTCTCTTCCTCCACATCCTGCATATCGTGATCCTGATTGTCACTTGGTCCATCCACTTGCTGTGCTCCTTCCTCCCCCTCTGCAGCATTATCCCCTGTGTCCTCTTCGGCGTCCTCATCCGACCCGTCTCCTTCCTGCATCTTCTTCTCATCCTCTTCCCTCATCTTCCTCAGAATCTTCACAGCTCTCTTCCCCAGTTCCCGAATTTCTCCAACCTCCTCAGTCCCTAGCTGCCCAACATCCCGACACTTCCCCAACAATCCCCACGCCCAAGCCCCGATGCGTCGAACCCGTTGCGCATCCCCACTCCGTACATTCTCCGACATTAAGCGCGCCATGATCTCCAGAACTCCCAGCACACTCTCCATATCCATACACGCCAGCTGCACGGTCTGCGGGTCTACCGCCAGGAGTAACCGGCGCCATTCCTTGCGCGCGTTTCGCGAGTGTCGCGGTAAACTGATCGGGTGGGATTCGTCGAGCCCGGCGATAGCTTCGGAAGGGGGTGTGCATTTCAGTATCGATCGAAGGAGAAGGAAGCGGTGGTGAAGGAGGTTGTAGTAGCTTGATTGGGCGTCGGAGATAGCCTCTTTGGCGACATTCGCAGCAGGGGCGGCAGTAGTATTGGTAGTAGACGTAGGAGGAACGAAGTAGACACCATCAACAACCACGCCCTCAGGAACAGGCTCTGATGTATCTTTCACCTCCTCTCGCTGTTGTAGTTCCTCATCGTTCTGCGCCTGCTCCGTCGCGGCAGGAGTTTCCGTCGTTTGCGGTGCCGTAAACAAGAAAGGGAGGGAGTTTGCTTCCGATCTACAACAAACCAGAATGAAAAAAATAATGAGCCACGTCACATCACATCACATCGCCGAATTCAAGAAATGCCGAAGGAGGCCTTTCGCGAGCTAAAGTCCGAAACACGCAGGCATTTAGCAAGCGGGAAGCGAAAAGAGCCAGAAAGATACAACAGGCAAAAGGATGAAGTAAAGGGTAGAAAAGACAAACAAACTTACCGAACCATGCGCAAATATTCCATGCCATCTTCAGCAGGCCCGTAGAACAGCTCATCATCTCCCGCGACATCCAGACCCGGAAAAGCGCTCTTTTGGCCATACACCGGGTGGTTGCGCGGGCGTTCGTATGGAGTCACGGTTGGCTGGGCTTCTTCTTCGTCATCTTCTTCGGCGTAGGAGGGGCGGGAACGTTTCGCGTAGGGAGAGTATCCGGTGACTGAGCCGGAGGGTTTGCGTTTGTCGGGCATACTGGACATGGTCTGTTTGGTTGTTGGGTTGGATTGGGGAGCAAAAGTTGAGGCGGAGAAAATGCCGGCGATCCAATGTTTCCCCCGGGAGCTTGGGCCACTTTTAACTATAGGGGAGCCACTATGATAACACCAGCAGGATTAATGTTGGTAATCGATGCACTAACTTATTACCCCAAGCATTCTTAATATTGGGAGGTAGCTGGAATGTATGTGTGTAGATACTGATGACTACTTAACTAAATCCATCACTAAGGAGCGTCGGTATAAAATAGAAATCAGCCTGAAGCTGCGCGAAGACAATCAAGTACTATTAGGCGATCGTTAGTGCTGTTGTAGGCTAGAGTCTCAGGCATGAATTTGTATAACATAGCATCATTCAGAGGCTAGCTCTTCAATCATTATAGCTCCCATTCTACTTGTTTCTACTGCACATTCAACTCTTAGGGTGAATCAGCTACGATGACTGCTAAATTCATACCTTAACAACGCTAAACATTCAATTCGTCGCTCCATTATATTCTTTTGTATCCAGATACAGGTCTTGTAATCTATTGCAGCTCTAGCCACCCGCTTAAGGGCGGAGACGCTGGGGGTCACGGGGGAACAGGGACGCCAGACGAACGTTAGGCAGACCCAGGAAGAACATGACAATGCGGTTCAGACCCAGACCACCACCGGCGTGGGGAGGACAGCCCTGGCGGAAAGCAGACAAGTAGTCCTCGAAACCCTCCTGGTTGGGGTTGAGGCCCTTGGCGACCATCGACTCCTCCAGCTCCTTGATGTCGTTGATACGCTGGGCACCGGACATGATCTCCTCACCACGCATGAAGAAGTCATACGAGTTGGAGAAGCGGGGGTCCTGAGGGCAGGCCTTGGTGTAGAAAGGACGGACGGCCATCGGGAACTTGTCGAGGACGTAGAAATCGGTGTCATACTTGTCGCGGATGATCTGTCCGAGCTGCTTCTCCATCGCGGTGGTGAAGTCATTCTCGAAGCGCTCCTGCTCGGAGACGTCAACACCAGCCTCCTTCAGCATAGCAACACCGTCCATGTAGTTCAGGCGGAGGGCCTTGCCATCCTTGGGGAGCTTGAAGTCACCCGCCTTGGGGTAGGACTTCTGGATAATGGCGATCTTGTCAGCGTAGCGCTCCTTGAGCTGGGAGAGGATGAAGACGAGGAGGTTCTCGGCGAACTCCAAGACCTCGTGGTAGTGGCCGCGGAAAGTCTTCTCGAAATCGAGACCAGCGAACTAGCGAAATCAGTACATGTGCGCAAGCTATTGCTTTTGTGATGTATTTGAGACCTACCTCAGTCAAGTGTCTGTGGGTGTTGCTGTCTTCAGCACGGAAGACGGGAGCGATTTCGAAAACACTCTCCATGTCACCAGCAATGCACATCTGCTTGTACAGCTGGGGACTCTGGGCCAGGTAGGCGTTCTTCTTGAAGTACTTGACCTCAAAGACGTTGCTACCACCCTCGGTAGCCGCACCCACCAGCTTGGGGGTGAAGATCCACCGCGAACCGCTCTTGATCATGTATTCGGCGAACAGTTCAGCCACACCGCTGGAGATCCAGGTGATAGCCTGACTGGTTTCGGTCTGGAGATCAAGGACCCGGTTGTCGAGACGGGTCTTGAGAGTGACGATGGGAGCGCCATCCTCACCAACCTCGAATCCCTCCTCGCTGGTCTCCGGGGGCGGTCTCTCAGCATCCTTGACCTGCATAGGGAGCATCTGGGCGGCCTCGGAGATCATGTAGACCTTGCGAATGTGGATTTCGTGGTTGCTAAGGGTAGCCGACGAGATGGGCACGGCAGGCTTCTTGATAATACCGGTGACCTGGACAATGGAGTTGACGTTCAATCCACCAGTGTACTTGATCATCTGACGGGAGATGGGCTCCGCAAGAGCAATGACAGCCTGAAGCTTCTGACCCTGCTGTCTCAGCATCAGGAAAGCCAGCTTGGCACTCTGCACACGGGCATTGTCGACGCGAGCCACCAGGGTAACCTCCTTCTCGTAGTGCTCGTCGGAAATGTCGGAGAATCTCGTCGCGGCGATGACATCTTCGGACTCGGGAAGCTTGCCATACAGGTCCTTGGCGGTGTCGTCGGCAGCGGCAGCAGCAGCCTGAGCCTTCTCCTGGGCAGCACGAGCAGCAGCCTTCTCAGCCTTGGCCTTCTCCTTTGCGGCCTTCTTCGCGGCGTTCTTGCTGGCGCTCTTGCTGGTCTCGGCACCCTCGGCGGGGGCGGCCGCAGCGGCGGGGGTTTCTTCGGGCTTGGGCCGAGTGGGCAATTCGGAGTCCGCCATGGTCAAAGGTGTGTGGATAGGTGTTGATGGAGGAGAGGAGGGAGCAGCAAGGCGATCAGGAACCAGACCGTCGGCCTGAATGGAGCTCCAACTTTCTCTTTTGAGTCACCCCGCCGTCCGAGGCCCACAGCCCTAAGCCCTAGGAGGGGCTGTCTGTCACCTGATGCGGATGCTTGTCATGCTGGATGATTATATAACAATGCACTGCATAGTTACTAGTTGCTATACTAGATACAAACATGATGGTCTATTCGCTATGCTTGCAGATGCAATTGCAGTCTACTCAACAAACGCTCGCTCAAAAAAGGACGACAAACACAAAAGTCTACTCTGTTCCCTCTTAAGGCCGCCACTGAGAGTTCTTCAACGCCCACTCAACTGCCTTGTGCACGTTATCGGCGATCGTCGTCGGAGTCCACGCTGGCTCACCACCATTGTAGACACCAGTTCGCACTAGAATCGAGTGCCACTTGCTGCCATGCTCACTCCGGTAGCTGTTAGCGCCACGGATGTCTGACTCCGGGTTGTCTCCGATCATATAGACGTTTCGCAAAGGCTGCTGGGCATCCGAACCGAATACTCTGGCACGGTTGCGCAAGAGTTGATGCTCCGCAAACTCGTACGTTCCCTGATAAGGCTTGCCAATGATGGTCTTCTTCAGCTCCACACCTTTGGCCGGGCCTCCTGTAACTGCAGCCCAAATGCCTTCCAGTGCCTCACGGAATCCTCCTTGGCCGAGACGAGGAAGGTGGTAGGCTGCAGCCCACCAAAGGTCTGGATTCGAAAAGTACAGATGTGGCTGCCCATCTTGTTGGAAACCCCGATTTGGGAGATCAGTCCGACCGTTCTTTTCAGAGATGGTACCTATCACGCCTTCCGACGATAGGAGGATGTCGGTGATGATCTGAGCGTCGAGAGCCCAGTCCCGTGGGTCATTGAAGACGAAGATCGCGTCGATCTTCAACCCCCTCAAAGGGTCATTGGGATCCTTTGGATTTGGCAACGGCTTAGAGATCTTCTCGTAGTAGCTCTTGAAAGACCTAAATGGCCAGATAGATGGGTTCGCCATGTAGATGTCGCCGGGTGTCACCACGTTCTTGAAGCCGTACCTGAACCCATTGTTAGCACTATAATCCACAAAATGTATAGGATAACCATAGGCTTGCATACATCTGCGCTACCTGGCGGCAACGGTCGCCTTCTCCTCCAACCACCAGCACGCATTTGTTCTCCAGGGCACTCTGCTCGTCTGGCCCGCGCACAAGCTCCGCAAAAGGCGAATGGCTCTGAACAATTACCTCCGGTTCCAATGGAACCTTCAGTTTCTCGCTGATTTCCGCCACTCGCTCCGTTTCATGTTTCCCACCACCATTTGTCAATAGGAGAAACGGGATGTTCTGCTCTTTCAGAAGGGCTAGGGATTCGGCGGCTCCGGGAATAGGCTTAGAGGATCGTAGCAGCACACCATCGATGCTAAACACCCCAGTCAGACTATATGTTAAGCCAGCGCGGGTGGAATTCGCTTACTCACTCAAATGCAAAGGCGAAGTCGGGGACGCGGGAATTGGCAGTCTGAAAGGCACGTCGGCCCGGACCAGTGTTTACAAAGGAGCGGGTGGAAGCACTCTGCAACAGCGCAAGGGAGCGCCAAAGAGACTGCGATCGCATACTCGAAGTGTGAAGAGTATAATATAATGAGTAGAAATGGAGAGTAACAAGCAACAGCGGTGAACGAATACAATTGAGCGGATGGGAGTCGTCCGGTGGACAGGGAGCTGCAGAAGCACAGGCCGGAGGAGAGGCGTGCGGAAGGCGGAGATGCAGCTGGCAATCGGCGGAATGATATCATCTCGCTTCTCCGCCATTTTCTTTTCCCCTCACATTTTCCTGATCGCCATCCACTTACCTTTTACTTCCCCACCACACAACTTGCATGACTGACACTAGATATATCTGTCGCCCCGGGCAGCTACATGACTCCCCCACTCATGCCGGCGGGCTTTTGATTTCGACCTGCCATGGGCATTGATGCATTCATGAGTGCCCATCATGCCCTTGATGCCCTCACGCCAGATTTATCTCCCCACGGAAATTGTGGTGGAGATTATCTCTTACGCCGCCGCAGATGATGGCCATCGCCAGTCCACTCTCTATGCCTGTTGCCTTGTCTCTCGCCAATGGTACTCAGTAGCCATCCCATATCTCTATGAGAAGCCGCGCGTGAGCGCCGGGACCGCTTTCAAGAGTTTTACCGACACAATCTGCCCGACGATCGGCGCACGAAAGAACAAGATACATCTGGGCAGTCTAGTCCACAAATTGGACCTCAGTGGGCTCGTCTATCATAGTTCAAACAGTTTGACAGCACGACTGCTGGGAAGGGTGAAAGAGAATTTAGAAGTCTTTCTGGCCCCAAGGATCTCATTTGCGTAAGTACAAAACAACATGCTCGTTGTGCATGCCTTCCGTCTGTCTTCGCCCACTTCAGATACTTGATACTAACACTATAGAACAGCATCAACAGCCTTCCGGCTCTCTCCAAATGTACAAACATCAGACACCTCGACTTATCGCTAGTCGGCGATCCAATCCCTTTTCCCAACCTCAAGAAAGCGATCAGCAACCTCCGCAAATTAACCACCCTTCGTCTTCCGCGCTCAACCTCCATCACCACCTACGACGACTCTGCAGCCACAATAGAATGGCCTCCTAACCTCCAGCGCCTACAATTCAGCGGCCACTACCGTTCCATACCCATGTCCTCCTTTCCTTGGCCTCGCACCTTGACTACCCTCACTCTAAAGAACTGCGCCGATCTCTCCATGTCCAGCCTTGGCAGCCTAATGAGCAACCCCCAACTAGCCACCCTTAAACGCTTCATCGTCTCCGGCTCCAACCGTAACCTGCAACCAGAATCCATCAATGCCATCCCAGTTTTCCTCCCTGAATTATCCTCTCTCAGTATCCCTGGCGATCTAGTCAATGATTCCTTCTTCGATATCCTCAGCCACATGCACCCCCCACTACCTCTCGAGGATATCGAGTTTGGATTCCCAAGTCTAGACGCCAACGTGACCTTCAGCACGAGCTCGTTAATCACAGCGATGGAATACGGCCTAGCAAACCTCCGATCGGTGGGTTTCTCGGAGCTCTTCTGCACCAACCAGCGAATTCTGGAAGACACGGAGATCGATGACTTCATTCATAGCCGGTTCTCGAAGAAGGAGCGGAGAAATTCCAAATCGTCTTTCAAGAATGGAGTAGAGAAGAGCGATTATGTGGATGATGATACGATTGGCGTTTATTACATATGATTGGCTTTTTATATACCTTTTGTTTACATTGCGTCTGATATATTTCGGCTAGAGTTGGTTCATATATTTTGTTAGGTAAAGTTACTGAATTATGATATCGAGATAGAGGATCATTTGAATACTACTACTGGAACTATATTCCGAATAATAAGTAGCTACTAGTTCTCATAGTGGTAGGAGAACCCATGTTATATTTAAGTTATTCGTTTCCTAGCCCTAATCAGTTCACGTAGGGACTAATGAGTACATGTCTACAACATCCACAAACCAAGCAAGAAGCTTCTACAAATCACGACGGGGGAAGCAGACAACCTCTAATCAAAATGATAGATAAATATATGATGACGCTTTTGACTACAGAACGACTCCAGCCACTTCCCCATTCAACCGGCCACCCGGACAAGCCAAAACGGGAAATGACAAGAAGACAAAGCAAGGGGCCGAGGACATGCTAACATGTTCGAAGAAATGTCAAGGGGAGAGAGGAAACATCGGCAGAGAAGAATGCGGGGAAAATAAATGTTTGAAAGATACAGTCAATTGTAGCAAGAACAAGTCAAAAGATGGGAAAATGAAGTGAAGTAGGTAATTCGAATGAATAGGGTGTTTGACGCCTACGCAAGATATTCATCGCATCTAACTCGGCACCAGAATTATAGAGGAAGAGAAATGAGAAAAGAGGAAAATGAAAATGAAGCAGGGGGAAACAAAAAATATCTGATCTCATAATGCAGGACTCATGCGCCTCGCGAACATGCCTCCATTACACATTTACAGGGGTCCATGAAGCTTAGGAAACGGACGCAATCACAGCAGGCGCAACACCTTCTTCCTCCGCCCGGACGACAATCTTCATGGTCACTCCAGTCTTGCTGGAGAAGGCCATCTTGATAAGGGACGCAACGCGGCCGCCTGTCACTGTCTTTCCGAACAGCTTCAGTGTATGCGTGCTGTTGCTGAGGGCCACATCCGTGCCCTCAAGGGGCTGCAGGGAGAGCGTAGAAATTAGTTGCTCGGTAGCATCTGTGATGGAATTAGTTGCCAGTTCCTAAAGTGGTTGTGAAGGGTGGTTGGCCTACCTGAGATGCCCTTCATGTTGCTGAGCTGAAGAGTCTCGCTGACTTCCTCACCATTGGCACCCGTCTGCTCCCACACATGGTCGAAGCTACCAGCAAAGGTTGGAATAACGTAGTCACTGCCCGTGAGATCAAGGTCCTCAACCTGATACTCGTCATCATATCCGCTGTCCTCAGGCTCGCCGGTAGTCGGGTCGATCTCTTTGCTAGTGAACTTGAGGTTGTTCGTAAAGGAGATAACAGGAACGCTGTGCTCGCCAGCAAGTTTCTTGAAAGTGACGTAAACAATACCGGGCTCATTCGTGGCCAGCTTAGGCGCAGGAACGATGAATTCCTCCTCCAGAACATCTTCTTCTGACGGCGTCGCAACTACTGTCACGTCTTCCAGAACAGTGTCTGGCAGGGTGTTCTTAATGTCGTATTGCAGCACGACGTGCTCCTTGAAGATGTGCTTAACAGCCGTAACAACATACTCCGTCTCGCTCTCAGTAAGCTCAACAGGGGCAGAGGACTTGAGCAAAGTGCCGTACTCCTTGAGCTCTGGGATCTGCATAAGCTGTTCGGCATATTTCTGAGTGGCGGCGACCGTGACGGCCTCGGCCACACCGTTGGCTTTGCCCTTTGGCGGGCCGGTCGATGGTGCCTTGAGAGTTGGCGTCGCGCTTGTGAGCTTCTTGGTCCGCTCCTCGGCCAACGCCTGCTCCTGTGAAACAACAGGGATCGTGGCAACGTCGAATGCAGCAGCAAAGGTCTCCTTGTCTGTTGATGTGACATACATCACGAGCTGGTGCTCAAATGTTGAAAGCGAATACATCGATTCTGATATCGTTAGCAAAGTAGTGAAGACAAGCCTAGGTCGCAGAAAGCTTACCGTTGCTGATAAAGCGGCTAGCAGTCTCATCCTCTTCGCTCATCAACCGCAGATTGAGGGCAGCTCGGTCACGCACTTCATCATCGACATCATCAAGGCATCTGGTGAGAAGGACAGACACACTAGACTTGACTTCAGGATCCTTCTGACCGACACCGAACTTGGCCAAAGCGGTCACGGCGGCAGCTCGCACAATGGCATTTTCCAGAACGACGCGGTTGTAGATGTAGCGAATATACTTGGTTGGGTGTGACGTCTTAGGACCCTCCACACCGAGCAAGTGCAATATCCTGACGGACAACTTGGTGAACTCGCAGTCCTCGATAAATTCACACAGATGGGCGAGCGCTGATTCTGTTAGTTGACCCGAAGAAAGGGAAACATAGTTCAAGGGAAAACTTACCATCCTCCTTGCTTTCGGGTACAAACTTGATGAGGTCGAACATGCTCTCGACCACACTGCGCTTGAACTCGTAGCCACCCTCATCTCTCAGAATGCCGCTCAGGAACGACAGCATACCGGCCTGCTTGCTAGGGAACTTGAGGCACAGGGTGCGAATGGCCTCCACAATCGTGATCTTGAATTCATCGGTGATGTCTGCCATGAAGCCAGAAATCTGCTTCATCAGGCGGTCGACGCTGGCCTCGTTACCAGTCTTCAGAAGAGTCGTGATGGCAAATGTAGCGATGGAACGGTTGGAGTTGGAGATAAGGGCTTCGATATCTGGGTTGCAGACATTTACCACATGAGGCTTGAAGCTTGCGAAGTTATGAAGGATGCGAATTGCCGCAAACTTGGTGATAGAGCGGGGCGAGGAAAGGAACAGCTGCAAGACATGGACTGCCTGGGAGGCTTCCGCATCAGAGACATCCCTCATATCGCAAATGGCCTTTGCCGCTTCGAAGTTGACCATCTCATGCTTGTGTCGGAGCCAGCCATCAAGCATCTGCATCATAGGCTTCCTCAAGCCCTGGTCTTCTTCGGCCAGCTTAGCCGCCAACCGCACCAGGAGGACAAGAGCCGCGGGGCTCTTAACCACTCCAGCCGCACCATACTGCTGAACCATTTTCACCAGGGCCATACGGTCATGCGAGCGCATCTGGTACAGGAGACCAATGGCGTGGTATTGAGTCATGAAGTTCGATTGCGAGATGGCGTGAGCCTGAGAGCTGCCACCGAACCCAAGGAATCCGGTCGATTGCTTCCCGCCCGAAGCAGCCTCTTGCGTCTCACTCTGCCATCTACGGACCACATCGCGCGCAATCGGAAGAAGGTGATAGGAGGAGACCAGCGCTGCGGAGGATACCGAAGGGGTCTTGTCGACGATAGCGGTCTTGATTAATCTCTCGATACCTTGCACAGTAGTAGCCTGCATGGACGACCATTGTCAGATATCTCGTTTGACGATAAATTAGGAGTTCCCAATGCGCTTACGTCAATGATGCGGCACAAGGCACGGATGGCATTTGCCCGATACAGAACGTCGCTGCCGACAGCAGTGTCCTTCATGATGATGCTGGTTGACATGATCACATCCTCCGCCGTGTTTGCAAGTTCCTTCAAAATCAGGTAGACCATTTGTCGCAGAGAGGGATCCTTGTTCTGGAATAACTTGGAAATGCCGAAGAACAATGTGGTGGCCTCGTTCGTGGGGAACTGCTCCCCGGTAAAAAGGAGGACGGCGATCTTGGTCAGGAGCGTACGGCATGTTCGGGGAGAGATGGGAGAGGAATTGAACAATCGCGCTATAGGAGGACAAGGGAAGAAAGTCAGCATTCACAATCAGGGTAGTAATGCGACTCCAGGTAGGAGCGAAACTGATAGACCCTTACCATCTTGAAACACGGAGGTCCGATCCAGCTTGATCATGGACTGATCAGCGTCCTCATCTTTCTTCATGTAAGACATTGTGACAGGCTGCAGTGATTGCCGCAGCAGCAAACGTGTTTTATGGCTCTCTCTGGGTTGGAAATGGGCCCCGTACGGGTGACGTCGGGGGATTGTTCAATGGGAGACGAATAAGGGCGGGTCAGTATGATGGGTTAGTCGTGGTGCAGGCGGTGTATGTACACGACTATGGCGCCCTCATTATCTTTCGAAAATAAAATTAGTGAAAAGAGGGGGGTGGCCAGTGAAGATATAGAGACACTTGCCCAGTCCCCAGGAAAGAAGCCGAAGGAGAGAACGACAGAACAATGGAGATAGTAGAGGATGGGTGTTTTGGCCAGGGCAGCAGCAACAGCAGCTCTCCCGACGGCCTCCAACAATCTCCAGGTGGCCTTCCGCGTCTGTGGGCGGCTGAGCCACAGGGCGGTGTGGCTGACCCTGCAAACGGAGCAAACACGCGGCATGTCTCGCCCGCAAAGCGTCCGTAGAGTGTGTAGCCTGCTGTCGTTGCCGGTCTGCCCTCCTGAGTCTTATAATCCAATCTGGTCATTCTATTAACTCAGAAGAACTCAAGAATAGCCTCAGTCCCGTCGCAGTCATGCAAGTTGAAGTCAACCCTAACGAGGATACCGAATGGTCAGATCGTCGACTTCGTTCACCACCGTTAGCCATACAAGCTTACACCCCGCAGGAATGACATCCTCCGCAAGCATGGCGTTATCCCCGAGAAGCCCCAAGATCCCGAACCTCTCATCCAAGAAGCCCTTATTGAGGCAGAGCGCAAGGCATATGAAAATAGATTAGAAGACAAGGACTTGGACGAGTTGGATGCACTGGAAGATGAGGAAGATGAAGATTTCCTCGAACAATACCGGTACCAAGATGATCGCTAGCATGCCCCTGACCAGATGGACCAGGTAGTTCGGCTTCACTAACGATCTGTACCAGTCAAAAACGATTCGCGGAATTGTCTACCCTCCAGCAAACCAGCATTCACAATCAAGTATACCCCCTACAAAAAGTCGATTACGCGCGCGAAGTCACCGAAGCCTCCAATAAATGCTTTGTGCTCGTTCATCTGAGCTCATCAAGTGCCAATGTCGAATCGCAACGGTTGACAGAATTATGGCGGCAATTAGCGGCAAAGTTTGGCGATATAAAGTTCTGTGAGATCAGAGGAAACATGTGCATCGAAGGTTATCCGGAAAGAAACACTCCCACTATCTTGGTGTACAGGAATGGGGAGATCATGAGACAACTCATAACCCTGCGGGAGATGAAGGGGCCAAGGACTACTGTGGAAGGTAAGGATTATTTTTCCATTGCTGCTTCTTGCTTTCTGACATGTGCCTCGTAGATCTGGAGAAGATGCTCCTGGATTTAGGTGCCGTCAAAGAAAGCGATGTGCGTCTCAAGAAAAGGTCCGACTCATCGGAAGATGAACGCCCATCCAAGCTGAAGTCCTCTAAGCCCACAGTGGAAGACGATGACGATGACTGGGATTAAGGAGGCACGCTCGGTAACTATGAATCCAAATCAGGACGGTCGCGGCCATCTCTCTGTGACCAAGTTCCAATGACCCTTTATCGGATGGGCACAAAATCGTATCCTTGCCGACATATACACGGCAATTCGCCATGCATCACATAGTTTACACTCTGAAGTCCAGCTAGATAGCCTGGCAGAGAATTGGTCACGCTAGCTGACCCAATTCTCTACATCTTTGCTTGACATGTAGAGCTTTCGTATCACCAGGTTTTCCAGGCTTCGGCCTGTTAACTACTTAGCTGCCTGCCTATCTAAAGACGTACCTACCACATAGTAGGTAGGCAGCCAGCCAAACTTTGAACACGAATGTGTTAGCATTGTTTTATACTTTCTTGTACCTTAACAGTCCTCTAGCCTCTACCTATCTCAGTATAGATCCAGTATGCAGTAAGCGTCCGCCAAAGTGGGTCTCTATGGCTGCAAATAACCATCGTGCCTGATTCTGTCATTTACAAAAATAACCATTATTTTTCACAAAGCGAGAACCCTCCAGAGCAATATAACAAATAGCTTGCATATGAGTTCAGTTGCCTGAGAATCAATATTCGGTCGATCGCTGCAATCCATCTCCAATGACAGCCGGGAGCGTGATGCCCCTCGGAGGCTCCAAGTCTGGCTATAATTGGCTTGGGCGCTGCCACCGGGCGGGATTGTCATTGCGCGGTTCCATCCCGAGTCCATCGCTGCCGTGATTACAATTCTAGGCCCGGCTGACTCTCTCCCTCCCTACCCTTGGGGTTTATACCTCCTCATCAATCAACAGGAACAGCACATCTTGTACCTTTCATCTCTCTGTGACAAAGCGAGATGGATTATTCGTTCTATTCAAACCATCCCCAGCAACCTTATCCTCTCTACGGCGTCCACGGGCTGCCCACCCCCGACCAAGGCAATCCGGCCCCTCAAGCCGAGGCCATACAGGGCGCTTTCGCTCCCTTGGTCGGTCTCTCTTGTTTTTGTGGACACTAGTCATATAAATTGCTCATGACGCTGACTTGTGGAAAGGGAGCGCAAAACTACCAGCCTTTCGATCCGAACCTGCGCTTTCAGGATCCTCACGCAGCCGCTGCCTTCGTTGCCCCGCCACACTCGCCTCCCGAGTCCCTCACCAAGCAGTCGGTTTCCAGCAATGACTACTCCAATCAGAACGTTGATCGAGCCTCTTACGATGGAGATGACCAGCTCTTAGACCAAAGTCTTGGCCGGAGCAGCAGCGAGGAAAAAGAGAGTCTGACTCCGGCGCAATCAAAGCGAAAGGCTCAGAACAGAGCTGCGTGAGTGGTTCCAGATCTAGGACTGCGTTATATCCCATGAAACTAATCTCTGGTTACTGAAATCAGCCAGCGCGCATTTCGTGAACGCAAGGAACGACATGTGCGTGAACTGGAGGAGAAAGTTAGCAATCTTGAAAATGCATCGAACACTCTTGTAGCGGACAATGAGCGATTGAAAAGAGAGTTGGCAAAGTTCACAACTGAAAATGAAATACTTCGGGCAACGTCGACTTCAATGCGCCAGTCCGGCCAGCGCTCCACCGACGAGGAACCGACAACGACGGGGCCATTGCAATACTCGCCCACGGATTTCAAGTCCGATGCCGGTGGGGGTAATGGCCCTGCCCATCGCGTCACTATATGCGGAAAGACAGGCGAGAAACTCCTTGACGCGGGAGCCACCTGGGATCTCATCCAGAAGCACGAGCTCTTCAAGCGTGGCCTAGTGAATATTGGCGATGTCTCGGGTCGGTTGCAAGGTACTGCTCAATGCGATGGGCAGGGGCCCGCCTTCCGGGAAAGCCAGGTCCTCCAGGCTATTGAAGAAAGTGCAGCTGCTGGCAACGATGACTTGTTGTGAATTCGCCTGATAGCATGGATTCTACGATGCAATGTCTTGCTTCTTGGTCGCTTTCTTATTTTTTTTTTTTTTTTACTTTTCGGTGCATGGGCGTCAGGGTTTGTTTCGGAGTAAATACCGCTGTTCACAAGCTTCATGGAACATATGCTGCCATCTGCTACTATTTGTGAAGTGAAGGACCCCACCGAGTCCTTCCTGGAGTCATTGGAGATTGAGGAGTGAGCCATTATACCTACTTACTGCTACCAAAGTTGTTGAATTGAATGGATGTCTTTGTTCTGAGGTTTCAGACTACTATTGGTTGATACTCTAAAGTGTTTTGTTTGCTCAGAGCTACGTAGGACTGCATATGCGTTGCCACGGGTTCTATAATATGCGCTATCTGGAGCAAAGCCTTACCCCATGCTGTGCCATAACGCAACAAGGACCTGACAGATTGAAGTCCATTGATACCTTACAAGGCATGTTTGCTCGACGATCGACGTTTATTATGGCCCAGTTGGTTCTGAACTCCTACTGCAATACAATAGCTCTTATTTTGTCAGCTGTACTATGATAGTAATCGAACTGACTCTACTGGGAAGATACTCAGATGTAACAGTATGGACTTCCAACTACAGGTAATAATGGTCCCCGTAGTCAGATGAAAAAATCCAATGATTTCTTGTCTTTCCTTACACGGCGGTTCTGCGAAGGCTCCGCAGTGTATACCAAATTCAAGGAGCGTGCCCACAGACAAAGAACAGAGACCACCTTCACCCTAGAAAGCATTGGGTATAGTCTACCACCGAGTAAACAACCCAATGTGTGCTGGCTAATCTGAACACGATGCATACAGCTGCACAGCTTGCGTGGTGTAGATCCAAGCAATGTTGCCCTGGGTAATAATGCGTTTAGGCAAGGGCAACATGGCACTATAATGTTTGTATAAGAATCGGAGAATAAGGTGGAGAGAGAGGGGTGGGAAGTGTGGCCCCAATCAATGCACTCCATATCTGGTTGTTTGTTTGGGTTGGAGAAATGAGGCTAGCAACAACTATCTACTCCAGACAGCACTACAACCATAGATCGAGGGGGAACCTGACGATGCAGACAGAAAGGGTGGATGCAGTATGTACCTAGTATGTAGTAAATGCATACGTGGATGAACGGGGTGATTCAATCTGCCAACCTGCGAACGCCAACGTTGCCTTTTCGAAAGAAAAACTCCCCGCAGTCGATAGCTTCGAACTCTTGGCAACAATTGGCCTGTGCAGACCTGAAATTGACTGGTAAATTCCTTTTCGTGCAAGAGAACACACGGGGTTGTTGTTGGTTCTGATGAATTTTTATTATTACTATGTGGTGATTGAATTGGGATCATCGTTAGCGGTGAGACCACATTTTTACTAGACCAGGGATATTATTGCGGGATTTACCCTCAGATCAACTCCTGGTTAATTACAGTTGCTCAATTACTCAATTCGTTAGTGACTACCTGACCACCATCGTCATCATCCTGGAAGGGGATCAGGTGACACCAATGTTTTCTCGATCGCCAATGCTATATACAGGTGTCCGTTCTTGAATCGACGTGGTACTACTTACCTGAGCTGCACGTTGATCTGGCCCAGTGGTGTTGTTGTGGGAACACACACCCCGGAAGTGGAGAGAGGGAGAGCGAGAAGAAAAAGGGAAAAGGGACGTGTTAGGTATTCTCCGATCCATTATGTCTCAGGCACTGATCGATGGTCCGATAAGGCGCGTGTGTTTGGGCCCCAAAAGAGACCCCCCCTCAATTAACTAAACTAACTAATTGAGGGCCCCGTAAGCCCACCGTATTTAATTTACTTCACGAAGGTTGCAAATGCGGTATCCGGGGTCACCTGTTCACCGCCCGGGATCAATCGGCCATACTAGGAAAGGGAGACGTTCCATTCCGAGGGTAAGTAGTAGGTAGAATCAGGGTATTGATGAGATGAGGTGAGAGAAATTTTCTCCTTGCCTTACGACGATCGGGTTTTAAGGAGGCGAATGGTCGTACAGAGAAGAATAATGGGGTCTACGGCGGCATCATTCATTCGCCTGGAGAATAAGCCTCGAGGTAATGGAGGGAGGAGGGGGGGAGGACTAAGCATCATCTCATCATCGATTGAGGTGCTTTGGGGTCACCGCGGGTGGAAGGGAAAAAGGTAGCGTGAGGGAAATAATCATCCGCCACAAACCGCGTAAATAACTAGGTAGCTTTGGGGGATAGCATGGAACATTGCCTCTGGGTTTAGGTTATTTTCACTTCGCGTTTACCCATGCTCTTGCCACTGTCGCCAGACTTTTTCGCCGCCTAACATGGTTTTTGGGTACTTCTAGAATGTTTTTGGACCGAAGCGGATCGTTTGCCTCATCTCTTTTCGTTTTGTTGCATTTGAGCGAGGCATCTTGGATGTATGAAATGGTTACATACGTGGTACATCTTATCTGCCTTAGGCAACCAGCCGTGATAGGTACAGCCCGGATGCATCATGACCTAGTCAAATCCTGCTGGGCTGTCAGTTCGTTGGCTATTGCCTAGTCAACCTTGTTCAGTTATTACTAAGAGAAGCATCAGAGAGCTACGTTCAATAGGGTAGCCTCAAGAGATACCCGAGCTATTGTTGAATGCAAAATGTTTTGTGTGTGTGAGAATTAAAGTAGGAGTATCGAATTTGCCCAGGCCTAAACTGCTGGATTGCTTCACCGACTTCTACTTCAGCCACCTCAAGGATGAATTGCAATGCCCACCCTGCTTGGGGGCCTTGTCTTCATTCCTTGGTACTATCTGCAATTCTTCCCGAAATGACTGGCTTTATCCTTGCCTTGTAGGACCCCAGTTATAGCCTCCTACTTGGCCAGCCGCCAGGTATCAGCTTATGAAAAAGGACAGCCTTGCTTTGAAACAGATCGGGTCGTTGGTAGTGGTTAGTTGTTCTAGTTTTAAGGTACTAGAAGAGTAGACTTAGTTGGTTTTAGGTAGCCTTGGATACGGTACGGAAGAGGGAATAAAAAATACGACATTTACGATACGCTGGGGAGGAAAGTTGGGAAACAAGGTGACCAAAAAGCCAGACCCAAACAGGCCAAATCCAAGCGGCCAACCAACCACCGGCGGCTGCTAAACTTATCACAGTCAGTCTTGTTACTTACTTTACTTTCCTTACCCGCCCCCTCCTCTGTCTGTCTCTGTGAAGGCTGACCGGCTTGGCTGCTCTCTTTACTCTCGCATTTTCCCTCTCCTCTTTCTCTCTTCTCTCCTCCTCTCCCTCTTCCCCCCCCTCTCAACCCACCTTCTCCATTATCAAGGCTCTGTCCTTGAGTCTGATATATCCTCCTTTTCCTTCTCTTGTCTCTCCTATCTCTTTTAGGTACGTTGTTCTACTTTTCTCCCCCGTCTCGTCGGTGACAGCCGCTAAAAGGTTCTGTCAGCTCGATCCCCTTTCTTTTTCTCTCCGCCTTTTTCGCCTTTCCGGTCGGGTCGTCACGGTCGGTTCACCCCAACAGTCGACATCACCGCTATCTCATCTCTTCCTTCCCGTTTCTAGACCAGGTTCGTCCGCTTCTAGGCTGCAACTCTCTTTTCTCCATTTTCCAGCTACTATTCACTTGTTCTGTACTTCCCCTCTTGCTTGGCTTGGTATCTGGCCTTGCTCCCCGTCTAAGCCGCCTGCCCTCAGCAGACTCGCTCTGCCCAGTGACTACGCGCCGGGATTCTCCCTGCACCTTGCCCTCTGGTGATTTTACCATCTCTGGCAGCCTACACTACCTTCACGCTCCTCCTGTCCCCTCTTCTTTCACCAACACTCCCTATTCAACACACTCCCACGATTGAATGCTCTCATCTTCTCCATCGATCTATAACTAACCCGTCTACCGACCTCTAGTCTGCTTAACACCTTACTCTCACAAATCGACGGCGTGTCTAATTCATCAAAATGACGACTATGGTTCGTGACATATTGGGTGTTATCTTCTGATGATGAGTAGCTGTGACTAACACTTCTGCAGGATTTACGTGTCGGTAACAAATACCGTATTGGACGGAAGATTGGAAGTGGTAGTTTCGGTGATATCTACCTGGGTGCGTGACATTATTCAGGAGGTGAGATGGGTTATCTGGAGCAGCTGGCTGATTCATCATCTAGGCACCAACATCATCTCCGGCGAGGAAATCGCCATCAAGCTGGAGAGTGTCAAAGCCAAGCACCCCCAGCTCGAATACGAAGCCCGTGTCTACAAGTCTCTTGCCGGTGGTGTCGGTATTCCTTTCGTTCGCTGGTTCGGCACTGAATGTGACTACAATGCTATGGTCATCGACCTTCTTGGTCCTAGTTTGGAGGACCTGTTCAACTTCTGCAACCGCAAATTCTCCTTGAAGACCGTGCTCTTGCTGGCCGACCAGCTCATTTCTCGCATTGAGTACATTCACGCCAAGTCTTTCATCCACCGTGATATCAAGCCCGACAACTTCCTGATGGGTATTGGTAAGCGTGGAAACCAGGTCAACGTTATCGATTTCGGTCTGGCCAAGAAGTACCGCGACCCCAAGACTCATTTCCACATCCCTTACCGTGAGAACAAGAACCTCACTGGAACTGCTCGTTACGCCAGTATCAACACTCACTTGGGTGTTGAGCAGTCCCGCCGTGATGATATGGAGTCGCTCGGATACGTCATGCTTTACTTCTGCCGTGGTACCCTTCCCTGGCAAGGCCTGAAGGCTGCTACTAAGAAGCAGAAGTACGACCGTATCATGGAGAAGAAGATGACTACCCCCACTGAGGTTCTTTGCCGTGGCTTCCCCAACGAGTTCTCCATCTACCTGAACTACACTCGTTCCCTGCGCTTCGATGACAAGCCAGACTACTCCTACCTCCGCAAGATCTTCCGCGATCTGTTCGTCCGCGAATCTTTCCAGTATGACTATGTTTTCGACTGGACCGTCTACAAGTACCAGAAGAATGCTGCTATGATCGTGGATGCCAACAAGAAGGACAAGGAGGCTGAAGAGCAGCAGCGCCGTCAGGGTGTTGCTGCTGCGGCGCCTATGGGCACCCCCGGTGCCGCCAAGCCCGGTGCCATTTCCAGCCAGCGCCGTAAGGTCATCGAACGTGGAACTCTTGACAACACGCCGGAAACCAACCGGGCCGTGGGAGGGAGTGACAGGATGTGAGTATCTGAAACCTAGGTTCCGTTGTAGGGAACCCCTTTCCTCTGCGTTTGGTGCTTTGTTATGACCCTGTGCGTAGAGGTCGGCTTGAAATCTAGAATCTGACTAATCTCATAGTCTTCGGCGTTAGGCTGCGTTCTGCTTCCAAGGTTGCTGCTTCAGGTGCTTATGGCCCTGCCGGTAGCCGCGCGAAGCGGGACGATGGGTACGGTTCTCAGTGGTACTGATTTGTACAGCATTGCAGTGTAGCTTGACGTTTCTTTTTTTCGGTTGCCGTTCAGCTTGCTGCGTGTTGGCGCCACGCTATCTGAGGAGCCCAGGATTACCACTATACCGGCTATCTTCTGCAGCCTGCAGTGAACCTTTCGGACTTATTTCGCCTTGGGCCCCCAACTTTC